CGACAGGTCCACTGTCATCGGCTACAGAATCCCACGTCAGAGAATGAGGAGGCTTACCGCAGCCTTCGCTCGGAGGTTCGGAGAGCCGTGAGGCGCTGCAAGGATGGGTGGTGGTCGCAGGTTGCTGAAGAGATGGAGTCTGCCTCAGTGGCCCGTGATCACAAATCTCTATTTAACTCCATCAAAAAAGTAACCTGCAGCGCCACACCTATTACCATCATTAGGGGAAAAAACGGTGATCCAATCTCCGACCCCCAGGAACAGGTTTGCAGATTTGCTGAGCATTTCTGTGAGGTCCTGGGGGAGGGAAAATCCCTCAGCCAGGAAAACATCGTGGCACAAAGTGAGGATGACCCTGCTGAGGCTGCGGTGCCTCAAATATTGGAAGAAGTCACCCCCTGTGAGTGGCTGGCTGAGGTGCCATCTGTTGAGGAAGTACTGAAGGCGATCCGGAGTCTGAGACCAGGAAAGGCAGCGGGCAGAGATGATCTCCCAAGCGAAATGCTGAAGGAGGGTGGCGTTTGTGCACAGACTGCCCTATATGATATAACAACAGTCTGGACCACTGGACGGGTTCCGCAGGATTGGAAGGATGCCCTGGTGGTCCCCCTTTTTAAGAAGGGGGACCGCACAGACTGTAACAACTACAGGGGCATCTCACTCCTCAGTGTGCCGGGAAAGGTCCTGGCAAGGATTATTCAGCATCGCCTTGCCAGGCACGCTGAGGAGAGGCTTGCGGAGCCCCAATGCGGTTTCAGAAAAGGGCGGTCCTGCACAGATGCCATATTTTCTGTCCGTCTGCTACAGCAGAGGTGTAGGGAATTCCAACAAAACCTACATCTCTGCTTTATTGACCTGGTCAAGGCCTATTATACCATCAGTAGGCCTGGGCTCTGGGTCGTTCTTCGTGCTTTTGGAGTACCTGACCCTCTGCTCACGATCATTAAGGACCTTCATGATGGTGAGCGGGCCCGGGTAAAACTACGTGGCTGGGAGTCGGAGCCATTCCCTGTACACCTTGGGGTGCGACAGGGATGTCATCTGGCTCCCACATTATTTAACATCTAGTTTGACCACGTAGTTCGTGAAGCCTTCAATAGCTGTACCGGGGGAATCTCCATATGGTACAGATATAATGGGAGGCTGATTGATGCCCGGGTGCGGTCAAGGGATGGCTCCCTATTGCTCAACCACGTTATGTATGCTGATGATTTGGTAATAGCTGCTCAGTCAGAGGAGGAGTTGGAGACGCTGCTGCTGAGACTAAGCACCTGCCTGGGTATTTTGTACCATCGGACACTCCGCCCCCACAACTACCAATCGGTGATGGGGCAGTTGTGGAGAGAGTGGAGAGTTTCCCATACCTGGGCAGTGTGCTTATGACTGGCTCCAGTTTAACAGCAGAGGTCTCACTCCGAATCAGTTGAGCGGCAATATCTTTTCATCGGTTGCGTAACGCTGTGTGGAAGCTACCTGGTCTGTCGCTACGCACTAAGCTACAGGTCTTCTCGGCCACGGTCATTCCCTCCCTTCTCTACGCTTGCGAAACGTGGACCCCCCTAATGGAACATCTTCGCCGGTTAGAAACATTTAGGCGGGCCTGCCTACGATCCATCCTGGGTTTAACCAGACTGGATTGTGAGGAGCTCACAAATCCTTGAAAGATCTGGGCAAGGTCCCATCGGTGAGCTCCTCCGGCAGGCAAGGCTGCGATGGCTGGGTCATGTAGCCCGCATGCCCAGCCACCGCATGCCGAAACAGCTTTTGTTCGGCCGGATTGAGGGGGCTAAGCGGGCGCGGCATGGGCTAGAGAAGAGATGGAGTGATGTGGTACAGGAGGACGTGGAGCTGAGTGGACTTGCCGATGACTGGTACCAGCGGTGTCAAGATAGGCCTCTGTGGAGGAGGCTCGTGAAGGATGCTACTGGGCAGTTGGAGGTAGTCGCCCTCCAACAACAACGGAGGGCGGAGGAGCGACGCTCAGAACAACGAGCGGAGCGCCGGGTGGCTAAAGCACAGCAGGTTGGCACAGGTGGTGCATCAGCCAGTGATCTCAGTCAGTCGACCCGTGGCACCTGGGTCTGCCCCGTGACCTCCTGCCAGCGGGCGTTAGACACTTCACGTGGCCTCAGGGTGCACATAGCCTGGCACAAGCGTCGTGGTGACGTCACCGCCACTTAGTGGCGAATGGCGGTTGTTGTTGTGTGGTTAATGGTTTGTGTGTGGTTAGTGGGTTGTATGTGTGGGTGGTTAGTGCGTGCGCGCGAGTGGTTTGTGGTTTGTGTGGTGGTTCATAGTGTAACGGTGGCACAGTGGTTTGTGCACTGTTCCAAACCCGGCGATCTGAGTTCGATTCCTGCCCACGAACAACAACATTGGTGACATGTATCTGCACCTGTCATGGGCATCCCCCTAGGTAGACAAAACCTTAAATACTACCTGGGTGCGGTGTGTAAGCAACAGCACTCGGGAAATAAAGGTGGCCGGGCGTGGTGCTGGCCTTCATCTGTGCTTTCCAATATCACTTGCCCCAACAGTCTGTTAGAGCTATACGGAAGGATCTTTGTGTACGCGCGTGTGTTTGGTGAATGTGTGTGCGTGTGTGGTGATGGACGTGTTTTTTTTTGTGAATGGTTTATGCGCGCGTTCGTGCCAAACCGTTTCCCGCAAGCCTGTTTTCTCATCCCGTTGTCATTCTCTCCCTACCGCAGGAATGTGTGTGCGTGTCTGGTTGCGCGTGTGTTTGCATGCGGCACGTGTACGTAGGGCTCTTTTAGGTGCGGTTTAATGGTAATTCAACGGGCGCGGCACGGGCAAGAGAAGAGATGGACTTATGCGGTACAGGATGTGGAGTTTATTGGACTTGCTGATGACCGGTACCAGCTGCGTCAAGATCGGCATACGTGGAGGACTCTACTGGGGAGTTCGAGGCAGTCTCCCTTCAGTTATAACGGAGGGCAGAAGAGCAATGTTCACAGAAGCGAGCGGAGCGCCGTGCGGCTAATGCGCAGTTATCCGTCAGTCGACCGATGGCACTCGGGTCTGTTCTGTGACCTCCTGCCTTTGACAGCAGGCCAATGACACAACATTGCCTCAAAGCACACCTAGCATGGCATAAGCGCGTGGTGACGTCACCGCCACCGAGTGGTGAACGGTGGTTGTTATGACTGTTTGTGTGTAGATGTATGGCTGTGTGCTTGTGTAGGGAGCCGTAGTGTAGCGCGCTGCACTACGAACCCGGCAACCTGGGTTCACGGCCAACACCAGTGACGATTATATGAAACGGTCCTCGGCCTCCCCTAGGTCGACTCAGCCTGAAATTAGTACCTGGAGCGGTGTGGAAACATCGCCACTGGGGAGACGAAAGCGGCCGGGCGCAATTCTGACCACCCACCCCCTCGTGTGCCGTGCTGGCCTTCATAAATGCTTGCTGACAGCACTTGCCCCAATAGTCTGTTAAGGCTGTAGGGGATATCTTTGTCTTTGGATGGATGTATGGGTGTGTATATGCTGGCTTTCATTGGTGCTTGCTGACGGCAATTTCTCCAGCAGTCTGTGTAGCCGACATGGGGGATCTTAGACTTTCTGTGCATGTGCCTCTCCATGCGCGTCTCTGTGCGCGGACAGGACGCGTCACGGCCAGGGGAAGGACAATGGTGGCCGATGATCGCGGCTTGGAGTGGAACGCGTTCCAGAGGACGTCCACAGTGGAGATGGAGCGACAGAGAGAGCCTGTGACTGAGCTGTGAATCCACGTGTGGAGTCCGTGCCAAGGGCCCCATCTAGAGGCGCACGGAGGTCATTGCCAATGTGATACGCGGAATGTGGTATGTGAAACTAAACAATTTGATATTTTACCAGGTAAGGCCCACAGAGCTAAATAGCTCTTTTTCAGAAGTGACCTGGCCCGAAATGATAGCTCAACAGAGGCTGTGGAATTTCATAGCAGCCAAATATCCTAAATGCATGTTTATCAATGTGGAGGGAAAAATCTGAGGACCCGGAGACAAATCCACGTGACCAGAAAGAGAGAGAGAACATGCGAACTCAAATATACAGGTGTCAGGTTCAGGATGGAACCCACGAGCACCTGTATACCAGGCGAGGTAGTTAACATCTCACAGCCGTGGCACCCCTGGGGAGACAAAGGTGGCCGGTTGCGGCCTTTGTAGGTGCTACTTGCCAGCAGCACTTGGGCCTAGCAGTATTAAGGCTATACAGGTGATCTTTGTTGTGACCTGTAGTGTGGTGGTCGAGTGGGTAATTTGTTGTGGTGGATAACTGCGGTGCGATTGACACCAGTGTCGTGCTGACCAAGTCATCAACATGGGAGGAGGAATTGAGCGGAGTTAACGGGAACAGTATTCGTGGTAGTAGCCATGGTCGAGTAATGAGGCGACTAACCGCCAATGTTTGAAAATAAAATGGCTTGAGTGTGACTTGGCTGCGTGTGGTTGACTGCCACGTGTACTGACACGACACGCACGCGTATGTACCCACAGACACGCGTGTTTCTCCGCGTGTTCACCTGGGAGAGCCTCGTCGAGTCTCAAGACTCGCGTTCATGAGGGTTCTGCCAGTTTTGTCACAGCAGTAGGGGGGGGGGTGATGTTTCTGCTGCTGTGCGATCCCAGTTGAGAGATTTGCAGGGAATGTCATCATTTGGGATGTTTTTTGTCCGATAGCGGTTTCACGAGGTGTGTGGGTTTAGCCATGGGGGGGAAACAGGAACCCGGAGGATATCCATGCACAACAGGGAGAATATTCCAACACGATGCAGAGGTGCCTGGGTTGGGAGTCAACTCAGGGGGCTGCTTGCTGCGTCACCACGGCACCCCCATCCTGCTGCCAGAAGCGTGTACCCCCGCGCACACAGGTGTCACGCACACCTGTACCCACACACGTACGTGTCTCTGCACATGGACTTGTGTACCCAGCCACACGTGTGACCCACACGTGTACCCATACACACACGGACGTGTAACGACACACACAGCGGGTGCAGCTCGCTAAGTTTAATTGGCTGCTCATGCATCTGGGCACGGGGCGCCACATCGTTACGTGAAGGCAACCACAGCGATCCATCCTCGTCATTGTACTTACAGGGTATAGCTTCATCATCGCCAGCACGATTAGTCATTACAGCTGGAGTTGGCTTAAATATATTTGCGTAAGTAATAAAAGGTTTTTAACGACAAAAGCCGGAGTAAACTCAATCCTTGGAGGGAGGACCGACCCCCTGGCCTGCACTCACCCCCTCACTCGCCCTTCCCATGGCAGAGGGCACATCCTACCCACTCGCCGAGCCAGCCTGCCTCATCTGCCAATTGGGCCACTCCTCACCTGCTCCACTCTCACCTTGCGCGCCACCTGCACCACGCTTGCCGGTGTTAATGGCTGTGGTAGTAGTGGTGGTTGTGGTGGTGATTGACCTGCTAGGCTCTCTCAAATGCTTTCCCCACTGCCCATGCTAGTTTCGATCCACACGGCCCTGGCTAGCGCAGAGTCCAAGCGGGGGGGGGGGGTGTGGAGGGGGGGGGGGGTCAGTATTGGTAGTGGAACCGGCTGAGTTGAGTCGAGGTGAGCTCCATCGCAAGCACGCATGCTCAATACTCAGCAGGAGAGACCTCGGCAGAACATAAGGGAGGCGGGGGTGCTGTGCACCCTCCAGTTTCCCTGTGGGCCCCCCCCCGTGCCGCCCCCCCCATGCCGCCCCCCCCCCCCCCATGCTATAGCAAACATGCTCGGAAAGGTATGGGTGGGGGTAGGGCAGAGAAAAGCAATGCGGGGACCGGGGCCGCCCCCCCCCCCCCCTCTGCCGCTTTTCATGGAGATCGGTGCGAGGGGGGTCTCTTGCTTTGGTCATGCATGCACGGGGAGACGCGGAGGGGGGGGGAGGTGGAGTAGACACGGGTGCAAGAGATGGAGCTGTGGAATCTTGTTGACGTCACTCGCGCCTGCAGTGATCGCGTCCTCGTCTGTCGACACATCGGTGCAACAGTGGGCCCCGTCCGCCCCACCCCCTGTGCCCTGGTGAACGTTGCTTGGAGTCCGCTGCTTCGTGGCTGTGCTGAGATCGGTCTCGACATCAACGGGCGCACTCGAGGCTACAGGGAATCCATTGCTCGACACGCATTTGTGTCGGTGCGATATTCAACTTTTCTCCCGCGAGTGAAGACGGTAGTTTTTTCCTGTGCAAATGGCTCTTTGCTTTTCTTTGTTGCACTTCATTTAATTGGTTTTGCTTTTGTCATTGTGGCGACCCCCCCCCCCCCCCCCCCCCCCGTCGTGAACTCGACATGGAGACGGTGCGACACGCCGGGTCGGGGAGGTGGAGACACACACGTGGGGCGGACACGCGGAGACACGGACAGGTTTTTGGACGTGTCCATCGGGGCTTTAGGATTTGTGTGACCGGGAGACGGTGGGTGATAGTGGGAGGCGATGTGAGATGGTGGGAGACGGTGTGGGGGGGTGGGGTGGGGGGCGGTGTGATGGGAGGCAATGGGACAGAGACCGTTGACACACGAGCCGTTCACTATCCGCTGCTGTCCTCTCCCGGCCGCTCCAGCACGCTCGCCTTGGGTGCGCGCGTGCGCGAGTGCTCCCGGGAGGTGGACTTCCTCATGCGCGTCCTGCGAACGGGGTGTGTGTGCGAGAGTGTGCGGAGTAGGTGTGGGAAGGAGTAGGGGGAGAGAGAGTGCCTGCGTCATTATTATTATCATTATCAAAATGATGCGTCTCACTGCAATCCGCCATCATTGCGGTGGTGGTGTTTGTTGTGGCGGTGGTGGTTGTTGCAGTGTGGTGATTTTTGTGATGGTGGTCGCCATGTGGTGGTTGCGTTTGTAGTCGCCGTGTTGTGGTGGTGGTTGTTGTGGTGGTCACCGTGTGGTGGTTGACCCGTCGGGGTTCACCGTCTCAGTCGACTCCAGGAGGTCGACATCCCCCACATGGGGGGGGGCCCCCGCATACAGCAGAGCCTGCGGGGCACGGGGTGTGAGGGGGGCATGGGAGGAACTGGAGGTCAAGGTGGGTTCGTGGTGAGTCGAGTGGAGAGCTGAGTAGAATGGTGATGGGAGTAGAGTGGCCAGTATAGTAATGCAGCGAGTAGAATGGTGAGGAGCCGCTCACCTGCTGGAAGTCCAGGTGAGCGCCGCTCAGGTCCATGGTGAGCGCGGGGTCTCCATGGCGACGCTCGGCGTGAGAGCCCGTCACCACAGAGTCGCTCACCGCCCTCGTCATCACCGCCTCACCACCGCTACACTCCGTGAGGAGCACCTACACACCCTCAACACCACCAGCCATTAGTTACACAACAGGCGTCCGCCACCGTGGTGACATCACCGTGTCGCTTTTGCCAGGCTAGGTGCACTTTGAGGCCATCCTGTGAAGTGTTGGTAGGCTCTTAAGGAGGTCACGGGACTGTGGATGTGCCACCTGTGTTCCCTACTGTGCCAACTCGCTGTGTTTTATACGTCCGGCGCTCTGCTCGTTCTTGTGAGCGGTCGCTTCTCCGCTGTTGTTGGAGGGAGACTGCTCCCAACTGCCCAGTAGAGCATCTTTATAGAGGCCAATCTTGACACCACTGGTACCAGTCATTGGTAAGTCCACTCAGCTCCACATCCTCCTGTAGCGCATCAGTCCATCCCTTCTCTAACCCGTGCTGTGCCCGTTTAGCCCCCTCTATCCGGCCAAACAGAAGCTGCTTGGCCATTTGCTGGCTGGGCATGCGGGCTACATAGGCCAGCCAATGCAGCCTCGCTTGCCAGAGGAGCTCACTGATGGGACTGTGTCCAGATCTTTCAACGATCTGAGCTCTTCACATAATCCAGTCTGGTTAAACCAAGGATATATTGTAGGCAGACCAGCCTTAATTGTTTCAAACCAGGGCCAGGCTGCACTTTTCACAAGCATAGAGAAGGGATGGCATGACTGGCCGACAAGACCAGGTAGCTTCCACACAGCGTTACGCAGCCCTTTAAAAGATAATACCGCTTCAATCATTTGGAGTGAAACCTCCTCTGCCAAACCGGAGCTGGTCAGAAGTACACTGCCCAGGTACAGAAACCTCTCCGCTCTCTCCATGGCTGCCCCATCACTCATGGAAGTGGAGAGGGGGGAACAGTCGATGACAAAAAAATACTGAAGCAGGTGCTTAGTTTTGGTGGGGCCCAATAGTAAAGCCCCATCCCTTAGCAGCATGCTCCAGGTTCAGCACTCATACACACTCACACAGATGGCAATCGCTAAGCTAGTGGCAGTGACATCTGCATGTTGCCCGTGCCAGGATAGGTGCGCCCGCACGCCACATGCATTCAGCATTAATCGGTGCGTGAATCGGTGCCGGTGGAGGGGTCAAGAGGTCACACGGTGGGGGGGTCGATAGTAAACACCGTCCCCCACCGTCCCGCCCCCCCCACAACCACCCCCCTGCCGCCTCCACCCCTCACCCCGCTGTGTCGCTCATCGGCGTGAACCACGGTTCTCTTGTAGACGTGAGAGCGGCGTTCCCCGATGTCGTCTCCTCCCTCCACGCGTCTTTCCCGTCCCCCCGCGTCGGCGGTGGTTGGGGCTGCGTCTCCCCCCGAGTCGCTCACCTCCGCTGCTCCCCTCTGGGTGCCGGGCGAGCCCACGGTGGGTGAGGAGCCCACGGTGAGCGACGCGGCCACTGTCCCTGGCTGGGCGTGGCAGCTAGGGTCCAAGAGGCCTCCGGTTGTGGGGCCTGTGTCGGGACTCAGGATCCTTCGAATTATTTTCCTTGTAACCTGGGAAGGGAGTGGTGGGGGTTGGTCCCAGGGGGATGGGAGTGGGAACCCCGGGGAGGGAGAGGAGAGAGGGCGAGTGAGTCGAGGCATTGTAACTCGGCGTGAGCAAGTGTGCGTGAATGAGCGAGCGAATGTGAATGAGTGAGTGACCCATACCTTCCTTGTCACAATGTTGCCGAACTCGTCTGTGAATTGTTCCTCCGTCACCGAGTCCGTGGGCATGTCTGTAACGTCCTCGCCCTGCACGCACACACATGCACGCACACACACAGATATGCACACAACAGCCACCAAGTCGTGGTGTTACCATGACGATTGTGCCAAGCTGGCTGCACTTTGAGGCCATCGCATGAAGTGTGGAAGCCTCACTACTCACAAGAGGCCATGGGACAGACCCAGGTGTCATGGCTTGACTGAGATGACCCCCTCCCGTGCCAACTTGCTGCATTTTAGCTGTCCAGCACTCTGCTCATTGTTGTAAGCATCGATCCTTTGCCTTCCGCTGGTTTTGGAGGGCGACTGCACGCAACTGCCCAGTAGCGTTCTTCACGCAACTGCCCAGTAGCGTTCTTTACGAGCCTCCTCCACAGAGGCCGATCTTGACACCGCTGGTACTAGTCTTCGAAAAGTCCACTCAGCTCCACATCCTCCTGTACCGCATCAGTCCATGTCTTTTCCATCCCATGTCACGCCCGTTTAACCCCCTCTGTCTAGCCAAACAGAAGCTGCTTGGGCATGCGGGCTACATGACCTACCCTTGCTTGCTGGAGTAACTCACCGATGGGTCTGTGTCCAGATCTCTCAAGAATCTGTGAGTTCCGCACACTAATCCAGTCTGGTAAAACCCAGAATTGCAATCTGAATGTTTACAACCGGCATATATTCCATTAGAGGGGTCCACGTTCCGCAAGAATAAAGAGAGGACATGACTGTGGTGGAGAAGACTCGAAGCTTTTTGAGGTGCGACAGGTCGGAGAGCAGCTACAAAGCGTTACGCAGCTGATGACATAGCCAACACAGTGGCGTGAAGCATAGTATCAATAAGGCTTGATTATTGCAACTCACTACTCTATGGGACGTCTGGCAAAAACATTACCAAGCTGCAGCATGTGTCTTTGGCACATGTGACAGGTGCTGCAAGATCTGACCATGTCCATCCAGTGCTCACACCGAGCTGCATCGCCTCGCGGTTGATAAATGAATACATTCAGGTCGCAATGATTACACATGAAGTGCTTGCCACAAATGAACCACAACAATACGAGCATAGAAACCATGATGCAAACTCCACTCACCCTCGCGGAGGCTTTTGGCAAGCCATCACCTGGAACAGGAGGTTATAAAAGGCAACAGACCCATTCGCCTTGCCTGCATCCCTCCCACTGATGTTCATCTTTGGTGGGGATGTAAACCACCACCACCACCAACAACACTCAGTACTCATGCACCCTCACCTTGATGATGACACGCCGCCTGATGACGCGCGTGGTCACGAGCTCCTCCTCGTCGGAGCTGCTCGTCGTCTCTCGGCTGCCCAGAGCGCGTGACACCTCCTACACACGCTCAACAACAGCCTCCAATCACAACTATGTGGCGGTGACATCACCGCAGCACTGGTGCCATGGCGGGTACACTTTGAGGCCACGTAAATTGTCGAAGGCTCGTTGCTGGCAGGCGGGGGAGCCTTCCACACTTCATCGGCATGTCCAAATCCTGCATCGATTGGTCGATTCATTTGCAGGACAATTAGAAAAATTAACATCATTGCTGTTCTTGATGAACTCGTGCCTATTCGAACAAGCACAAAGAGAACTAGGGAAAGTGCGCAAGTAACTGGTTGTCACCGGAGGCGATCGCTGCAAAGCAGACCTGGAGGAGGCTCCAGCGACTTTGGAAGAAAACTGGTTTCAAGACTGTCCGACTTGCTTACAGAGACGCCCGTAGATCTGCCAACCAACACATTTTTAAGTCAACGCAGATCGTTCTATGCTCTGCGCATCAATGAGTCGGCTCGCGACCCCCTGTGCTTTGTGGCACGTCGTGAAGGGGTCTGCTGCACTCCAACCACCCATCAACGAGTCAACCCGGTCTGTGCACAGGGCTTGCGACGTTCTTCGCCAATAAAATAGTGACGATCAAGACGGCAGTTTCTAACTTCAAGGAAACGCATTCTCCCGGTCTGCCATCTGAGTTTTGATCAACATCGAACCGATGTAAATTCGAGACGCTGGCACCAGCGTCGGTGGCAGAGGTGTCAATGTTCACCGCACTGCTGCCAAATAAAACATCGCCACTCAAAGTACATCCACACGTCGATTCTCAAATCATGCTCGGACGTTGCTTGCACCGCTGATTGTCCACCTGGCCAATATTTTGTTCAACTAGGGCGGTTTCCCAGACTGGTTCAAAATGGCGCAGGTAACACTGCTCGAAAAAAATGGCTTGAGCCAGTGACCCCACAACTATCTCCCGATCTCAAACCTGAAGTAAGATTTCAAGGGTCATAGAACGCTTTGGTCTGAAGTGGTTACTTCCCCACGTCTTTGGGATGGGCGCATTCAACCCGTTGCAGTCAGGATACCGGAAATTCTACAGCATTGAGGTGGACACGACTAAGGATCACTCAATACCTCTACAAGATCATGGATGATCGGAGCACCTGCAGTGTTGGTTGGCCTCGATCGCTCAGCCTCCTTTTGACACCGTCGACCACAAGATATTCATCGAGCGGCCATGGTCAAGGTTCGGTGTATCGGGTATGGCTCTGGGGTGGATTTAGTCATACCGACATGGTCAATCACAGTTGGTCTAGCTGGGCGATGAACGGTCATCGCCGATGCAGTGCCCAGTTGGCGTACCAGAGGGTTCGTCCTATTTTGAACATGCGTCTCTGGAATTGCCGATTTCATCTCGGGGCATTCCATCAAGTTCCATTAATATGCCGATGATGCACAATTGTACACTGCAGTGAAGTCAAAGTTAGATATGGAGAGCTTCGGTAACCTCGAAGATCGCACGCATGTGTGTTTAGCACGAAACAAGATGCTGCTTAACCTAGAACAATCGGTTCTGCAGGCGAAACAATTTGTGGGAGGATTAGGTGTGGCCGTTGTAGACTCCAGGATTCAGTTTTCTACTCATCTAAAGAGCCTCAACACAATATTATAAAATTATATGTCGCTTGATCGCAAAATACAGTCATGATGTAACCAACATGGTGGCGTGTAGCCTAGTATCGACAAGGCTCGATTTTTGCAACTCACTACTCTACGGGACATCTGGCAAAAAACATGAGCGTGTACGAAATTCTTTGGTTCGTGTCGTGATGGGTATTGCAAGATCCGAGCATGTCCATCCGGTGCTCGCTGAGCTGCATTGGCTTTCGGTTGCTGAACGAAGACATTATAAGCTTGACCTCATTACACACAGTGCTTGTCACAAATAAACCACAAAACCTTCATATTTCGTTAAGGAGCATAAATCAACATGTGACCTCTGGTCATCCTCGCAAGCGGCTTTTAGCTAGAAATCGAACAAAGCCAGTCACTGCATTGCGTGCTTTTGAGATGCGGCCATCTGGAATGCTCTTCCTTCTGCTATTAAGAAATGAAAACCAATTTCTTTGGAACGACTTTTTTTGTTTAGTTTGTTGTCCTTACAATGCACCTCCGATTTGCATGGTTGGCGACATGTGGTGCAAAAGAAGTTGAACATATATATTACTCACCTCTTCAACAGGCGAACCCTCATCAGGACTCATCTCCTCATCCTCCTCCTCCACGACCTCAACTCTTCCTCGGTGTGGCATCATCCCTTCTTTAGCCGGTGACAGGATTCCTCCTGACACCTCGTTGCCCTCCACAGGCTCCACTTCTTCGGGGATGGCTCCTAGCCGACCCTCGGTGATAGCTGGTGACCCCTCTGCACCCTTACCGGTTCCCTCCTCATCCTCCTCTCTCTCCTCCTCCTCGTCGCCCCGAGGCTCCTCTCTGGCCAGGGGCGCAGGTGGGACTCTCTTCACCTCCATCTTCCTCTCCTCCTCCCTCTTCATCTCCATCTTCCTCTCCTGGTCCCTCTTCAATTCCTCCTCCATCCTCTTCCTCTCTTCTTTTTTCCTCTCCTCCTCCCTCTTCTTCTCCTCCTTCTCCTCTTTCTTCTTCCTCTCCTCCGTTTTAATCTCCTCCTCCACCCTCTTCATCTCCTCCTCCACCCTTTTCCTCTCCTCCTCCATCCTCTTCTTCTCCTCCTCTTTCTTCTTCCTCTCCTCCTCCATCCTCCTCCTCTCCTCCTCCACCCTTTTCCTCTCCTCCTCCATCCTCTTCTTCTCCTCCTCTTTCTTCTTCTTCTCCTCCTCCACCCTCTTCTTCTCCTCCTCTTTCTTCTTCCTCTCCTCCTCCATCCTCCTCCTCTCCTCCTCCACCCTTTTCCTCTCCTCCTCCATCCTCTTCTTCTCCTCCTCCACCCTCTTCTTCTCCTCCTCTATCTTCTTCATCTCCTCCTCCACCCTCTTCTTCTCCTCCTCCACCCTCTTCTTCTCCTCCTCTTTCTTCTTCCTCTCCTCCTCCACCCTCCTCTTCTTCTCCTCCTCTTTCTTCTTCATATCCTTCTCCCTCTTCTTCTCCTCCTCCACCCTCTTCTTCTCCTCCTCTTTCTTCTTTATCTCCTCCTCCACCCTCTTCTTCTCCTCCTTCCTCTGCTTCTCCCTCTTCTTCTCCTCCTCCACCCTCTTCTTCTCCTCCTCCACCCTCTTCATCTCCTCTTCTACCCTCTTCTTCTCTTCCACCCTCTTCTTCTCCTCCTTCTTCCTCTGCTCCTCCCTCTTCTTCTCCTCCTCCCTCTTCTTCTCCTCCTCCACCCTCTTCTTCTCCTCCTCCACCCTCTTCTTCTCCTCCTCCACCCTCTTCATCTCCTCTTCTACCTTCTTCTCTTCCACCCTCTTCTTCTCCCTCTTCCTCTCCTCCTCCATTTTCATCTCCTCTTTCTTCTTCCTCTCCTCTTCTACCCTCTCCTTCTCCCTCTTCCTCTCCTCCATTTTCATCTCCTCCTCCACCCTCTTCATCTCCTCCTCCAGCCTCTTCCTCTCCTCCTCCACCATTTTCCTCTCCTCTTTTTTCTTCTCCTCCATTTTCCTCTCCTCCTCCCTCCTCTTCCTCTCCTCCTCATCCCTCTTCCTCTCCTCTTGCTTTATCATCTCCCTCCTCTGTTCCTCATCCTTCTTCCTCTCCTCCTCTTCCCTCTCCTGCTCCTCCCTCCTCTTTCTCTCCTCCTCTCTCTTCTTCATCTCCTCCTCTCTCTTCTTCATCTCCTCCCTCTCCACCTCCTCTCCCCCCGGGCCCCCCTTCTCCCCATGACCCCCGCTCGAGGGTTCTTTGGCATTGGGGGGCTGCTGCGTGGCTCTCTCCTTCAGATAGCCGACCAGAGTTCCCGGGGTGGGTAACCCCCGCTGAGCTGTTTCGCCAAAAGAGGGGGGCGACTCGGCATGACCTCGTCTGGGGGTATGGTGGGGGGTGGGGGGGGGGGGTTACGAAATTACAAAGACTCCCGAGCGCATGAGCGAACGAGCATATGACCGAGCGGGTGGTTGAGTGAGCGAGTGCGGTGCCGCACCGGCGAGCCGCCCGTATCTGCTCGGCCGAGAGGTTCACGTGAGCGCCGTCCGTCTCCCGCTCCAGACGCTCCATGAGTGCGCGCACTCGCTCCTCCGACCACTCGGGGTCTGCCACGCACGCACACACACACACACACGTGCGCACGCACGCACAAACATACGCACACTTACACACGCGCATGTACACACACGTGCACACATGCACACACACGTGCACATGCGCGCGCACAAACATACGCACACTTACACACGCGCACGTACACACAGGCACATACATAGCGTGCACACGTACACACACGTACCCGCGCACACGCGTACACACGCACGTGAGTGGAGTGAGTGTGTGTAGTCCCCTTGTTCTGAGTGTGTTTTCTCCGGGTTCTTCGGTTTCCACCTCCCATAGCTAAACCCGTACACCTCGTGTAACTGGTGTCAGCCAAACCCACATCCCCATTGCCGACAATCTCTCAACTGAGATCGCAAAGCAGAAGCAGCAGCAGCAGCATGTTCCCCTGCTACTGCGACAAACCTGGCAGCACCCTCCTGAGACTCCTTACGGGGTGAACGAGCGGAATCGTAGCAACGGGAAGAGCCGCAAATCGCCACCAACAATGACGACACCGCGCACGTGTGCCAGGCTAGGTGCACACACAGGCGCCCCAATGTCGTCCCGCCGCACCTGTCTTAAACTCGGCGAGCCGGGTTCTCTTCACGGTGGTGACGCGGAAGTTTGGGAACGAGTCCGGGGAAAATCCCTCTTCGCAGGGAAACCCCCTCGCTCCCAGGGACACCCCCGGCGGCAGCCCAGGAAACAAGTCGTCAGCGCGAGGAGACCGTGATGGCGCGGCAGAGAACGGGAGTGGTGCGGCCGAGGCGCTGAGAGATGTGGCCGTGGTGGTGAGCGGCGTGGCCGTTGCGGTGAGCGGCGTGGACACGGGGGATGCGGGTGCTGGCGGCGATGTCAGCGTCCTGTTCGTTATGAGCGTTGTTCTGGTGAACACGAACGATGCCGGGAAATCTGGCATTGCTGCAGGAGGCGGTGTGGTGGGAGTGGCGGTAGGGGCGGGTGGCGATGGCGGTGACGGACCAGCAGGTGGCATTCGAGGCGGCAGAGAGGCGGAGGGAAGTGACGAACGCTGTGGGGTGAACGAAAATCCCGTCGATGGCGGCGCTGACGATCGTGGTGGTAGCGTCGACGATCGTGATGGTGGTAGTGGAGGTAGTGCTGATGATTGTGATGGTCGTGATGGTCGTGATGGTAGCGTTGACATTCGCGATGGCAGCGTTGACGATCGTGGTGGGGGCGGCGGCGGTGGTGTGGATGCTAGCGATGATGACAATGGCGCCGGCTGGGTCTCTGCGTGGCCTCGCCGTGCGGCTCGAACGTTGCGGAACCCGACGCTCTCCGCGGCGCTTGAGAAGGACGTGGCGCACAGTGGAATTGCGCCGGCAAATATATCGGAGAAATTTGCGGTAAAGTCATCGTCACGGTCGCCGTCATCGTGGGCCGGGACGGGCGCGTCGCCCGCATCGTCACCCTCGTCGTCCGCGTCGTCGTCATGGCAACCAAAATCAAATCGCTCGGAGAGGGCGTGGAGGTGGATCTTCGGCACGGGGGCGGCGGTGGCGGCAGGGACGGCCGCGCCGTGCGCTGCAACGGCGAGTGTGGGATGGAGACGCGGAGAGAACGGAGAGTGGAGGGGGAGAGAGAGAAAGCGGAGGGAGAGCGGAGGGAGCCCGGAGAGCGGAGAGTGGGTAGGGAGCCGTCAGAGTGAAGTCACGCGTGAGATGGAATGAGCAGAGAAGAAAAAAAAACGCAACGTCAACGAAAGAGAAACATTGGGGGGGGGGGGGCAGGAGGGCAGGGGGGCCGTGCGGATATTTCAGATAAAATGCAACGAAAATAAATAATAATTCATAACCAAGCGGGGCCGCGCGTGCGTTGTGATGTTGACGGGACGACCCAGCCTGAGTGTGGGGGGGGGCACCCCGTGTGAAGGTGGAGGCGGGTGAAGGTGGAGGCGGAGGGTCACCTGTTTGCTCCAGAGTGGGGTGCTCGGGGCCCGTGGTGCTGCGGGGGATCCCCGGGAAGTGAGGGGGGGGCGGCGCCGAGCCTCCTACCGCCGCCACCTGAGCCACGTCCGGCCTCTTCATGGCAACCAGGTACCGCTCTAGCTGGGTGCCTGGAGACCACACATGGCGTCGTCTTCGACCCCTCGGCGGCCAACACATCGATAGCAACCGCACATCCTCACTGGCTTCCGAGCAACCAAGTTCAGCATCATTGGCCCCCGTGTAACCACACATAGCGTCACTGGTTCCCAAGCAAGGCACACGTCATTAGTAACCACACAGAATCATTACTTATCCCTACACAGCAAAGTATTGTTGCTGGTCGCCGAGCAACCATGCAGTACCATCACCGAGTGCCTAGCAACTACACATCGTGAGCATGAGTAACCACACACTACATTACTGGTTCATTAACAACACACCATCTGTAAAGGCGCTGTGAAGTTAAGCACGATTATAACCGGCTGCGTTATAATCCCTACACCACCTGTATTGAACTGGGACTCTGTATTTGCGAAGAGATGTCCCTTGCTGTCAGATCGGCCGTTCGCTAACGTCGATTTCAAGCAGCGCGACTGCCGATGAGACACTGAATGTCGGAACCGGTGCAGAGCTTTGCTTGTACCGAATACATGGTCTGCTTGTTCGTGTTGTGTAGTTAAGAGACAAGTGATGATGCTGTGGTTACTAATGATGTGTAGTTCCCAAGTAACAATGCGCAGCATCAATGGTCCCCTAGCAACCATCCCTGCCGGCTCACCGATCCCCTGGCAAATGACCCTGCTGGCTTCCAAGTCTCTTAGCAACAGTCCCCATTGGCTCACTGGTCCTCTAGCAACCATCCCTGCCGGCTCACCGATCCCCTGGCAACTGACCCTGCTGGCTTCCAAGTCTCTTAGCAACAGTCCCCATTGGCTCACTGGTCCTCTAGCAACCATCCCCGCCGGCTCACCGGTGGCCCGGCTGCCCTCGCGGTGAGCCCACAACTTGAGGAGGCAGAACGCCTTCTGCGCCTCCTTAGACAGACCCAGCTCCTCCACCTCGTCAGCCACTTCCTCGCCCTCCCCCTGCACCACACAGCCACCGTTAACCATCACAGCGCCAAGTCACGACGGGTGGACACGGGGGTCACGCATCGTAACAACCCACACACCGCCTACACACTGTCGCGCACACACACAATGCTCACCCACACAAATCATCATACATGCACAGCTCACCCACACACACACACCATCACCCACACATTCTGCTAACCCACACACACTGGTCATCCACCCACACCGCTCACCCACGCACGAGGTTCCTGTCTCACCTCCTCCGCTCTCTGCACGGCCTCCTTCAGCTTATCTGGAGAAATCCCCATCTTCTCTGCCAAAGCTGCACATACGCAGGCACACACACATGCACGCAGGAAACTGACAAACAACAGGAAGTGTGTGTGTGCATGTCTGTGTAGTGGGCAAAAACAAGCCCGACCTCCTCGGAGGTGCTGGATGGTAATGCTGTGGTGGATGTGAGCAATGCCATATGGGGGGGGGGGGGGGGGAAGGCCAATTCAATCGGCTTTTCCCCGCATGGTGGTCGTAACCACCATAGCGGCTGGAGTGATTGGAAGGCATGGGCCAGATCGGCTCAATAACAACGGTAGGAGGCTGCTAGACTTTTATGCAGCCCATGGGCTTGTAATTACCAACACGCTGTTCCGGCATCGGCGCATCCACACAACATCATTGATGCACGCCGGGTCCAAGCAAGAACAATTTTTGGACTACATAGGGACGGAACAGTGGATGCGGGCTCATGTCCTTGACACCAGGACCTACCGTGGAGCTGATTTGCCCACTGACCATTGGCTTGTCATCTGTGAGTTGCACCTGCCATTCTTCCACTCCGGAGGTGGATCTCCATATAGGACCCCATTCAAACCCACAGTGGTCTGTTCTCAGCTCGCTGATGAAAGCTACACGTGAGAATTGCATTATCGCTTGCAGCTGGGGTTGGCATCACATCCCCCTCCCCACTTCTGATGCCGGGGGGGAAATGGGCGAAGAGTTTAGGACTGTGGCTCATGCAGATGCAATGGCTGCTTTTGGGTACACTTTCCAAACCTCCCCAGAGATGCTGGATGACTGAGGAGGTGTTACCGGTTGGATAAACAGACGTAACAGGTGCACTCCCACCATCTACAGCAGACGTGGGCAAAGTACGGCCCCCGGGCCGTATACGGCCCGTTGGGCTTTTTAATCCGGCCCGCCGAACTTGTACAAATATTATAATTATTATTAAATTAAATTTTACCTTTCTCCTGTAATGCCCCCATTTCCCCATTAGATGGCGCACTTTGACCGGGAGTTACGACATGTTTTTGTATTGTTCGAGTTTGTGCAATTTGTTAAATTGCCTTGCAAATAAATGCTTTGCTACCTGCTAAAGGCCAAATCCTTTCATGTAATGATTTTTACACGTCATATTTAGTTCACACAAACACTCCATCCATCTGTTCCTGGCCCGGCCCCTCTGTCAAATTTTAGAATCCATTGTGGCCCGCGAGTCAAAACATTTGCCCACCCCTGATCTACAGCATCCCACGTCGGAGAATGAGGTTTACTGCAGGCTTCGCAGTGCCGTGCGGCACTGCAATGATGAGTGATCATCATGGGTTGCTGAGGAGATGGAATCTGTCTCGGAAGCCCATGATCACAAATCACTCTTTAATTCTATCAAAAAAGCAACTTTGAGCGCCACACCTATCACCATTCTTCGGGGAAAGAAAGGCGATTCGATCTCCGACCCCCAGGAACAGGTTTGCTCAGCCCAGAAAACATCATGGGGCAAAGTGGGGATGACCCTGTTGAGGCTGTGGTGCCTCAATTATTGGAAGAAGTAGTCATCCCCTATGAGTGGCTGGCTGAGGTGCCATCTGTTGAGGAAGTCCGGAGTCTGAGACCAGTAAAAGCGCCGAACAGAGATGATCTACAAAGCGAACTGCTGAGGAAAGGTGGCATTTGTGTGCAGACTGCCCTATATGACAATGTAATAGTCTGGACCACTGGATGGGTTCTGCAGGATTGGAAGGATGCCATGGTGGTCACCCTCTTTAAGAAAAGGGACCTCAGACTGTAACAACTATAGGGACATCTCCCTCCTCAGTGTGCCGGGAAAAGTCCTGGTAAGGATTATTCAACATTGTCTTGCCAGGTACGCCGAGGAGAGCCTTGCAGAGCCCCAATGTGGTTTCAAGCCAGGGCGGTCCGGCACAGATGCCATATTCTCTGTCCGTCTGCTATAGCAGAGTTGTAGCGAATTCCAACAGGACCTACGACTCTGCTTTATTGACCTGGTCAAGACCTATGATACAAAATCAGAATTTGTATTTATCCTGGAGAAATATCGATACCATCAATAGGTTAAGGCTCTGGGTTGTTCTTCATGCTTTTAGAGTCCCTGACTCTGTTCACGATCATTAAGGTCCTTTATGATGGTGGGCAGGCCCAGGTAAAGCTACGTGGCCGGGAGTAAGAGCCATTCCCTGTTCACCTTGGGGTGCGACAGGGATGCTCCTACATAAAAAAAATCGACCAAGTAGTTTGAGAAACCTTCCATGGCTGTAGCAGTAGAATTTCTATCTGGAAAAGATAAAATGAGAAGCTGATCGATGCCCAGGCACGGTCAAAGGATGGCTCCCTACTGGTCAACCATGTTATTTATGGTGATGATCCGGTATTTCCTGCTCTCTCTCTGAGAAGAAGTTGCAGGTTCTGCTGCTGAACCTGGCACATGCTGCAAAGAAGTGGGGCTTTACCATCAGCCCCACCAAAACTAAGCACCTGCCTGGGTATATTTAATCATCCAATATTCCACCCCTTGAGCTAACTATGAGTGATGAGTGGAGAGGTTTTTTAACCTTGGTAGTGTGCTTATGACAAGCCTCGGTTGGTAGCAGAGGTCTCCCTCCGAATTAGCCAAGTGGCATAATCTTATCGTCAGCTGCGTAATGCTGTGCGGAAGCTACCTGGTCTGTTGCTCCAAACGAAGCTTCAGGTCTTCTCGGCCAGTCATGCCCTCCCTTATTTTTGCTTGCGAATCATGTCCTCTAGTGGAACATCTGTACTAGTTTAAAACTTTCAGGCTGGCTTGCCTACAATATATCCTGTATTTAACCAGGCTGGATTGTACAAGGAACTCACAAATCCTTGAAAGATCTTAAGACATTCCCATCAGTGAGCCCCTCTGGCGGGCAAAGCTGCATTGGCTGGGTCATGTAACCTGCATCCCCAGCCACCGCATGCCCAAGCAGCTTCTGTTTGGCCAGATAGAGGGGGTAAATGGACGTGGAGTGGGATGGAGAAGACATGGCATGATGTGGTACAGAAGAATGTGGAGCTGAGTGGACTTATACGCTTTGGTTTTTTAGGTAAAGTCACATAGGTAAAATAAATTAAAATAAAAGAAAACAATTAAATCACGACATTCAGGAGGCAACACAAGCTTCCGTCTTCAGGTGGAACAGTCACAGCAAGATCGCTGCATCAAGTGGGGAGGCTCTGAGAGCCTCGAGCTTAAATACAGGTTAAGGGGGGGGGGAGGAGCCAAGTAGTGCACATTGATGTTGTGCGGAGCTAAGTTAATCCGTCTTTTGTTATGTTGAGGGTGCGGGGGATGCAGTGGGTCACTGCAGGGGGCAATGGAAAAATGGAAACAAAAATGGAAAAGTTCTGAAAGAATATGCTGTGTGCTTATAAGGTAGCTAAAGGTTTGATTTGGTTTATGACATCTTTCCAGTGGTTGCTTAATTTAAAACCATCCTCTCAGTTGAAGTTGTGTCTATGTTTGTATATCTGGATGGCTTCGTGGACAAATCTTTGGTAATAACCGGGAGGTTTGCATAGTACTTTGGTATCAGAGAAAACAATCTCATGAGAACCCGCTGTGTTGAGACAATGATCAGCTACGGCCGACGAATTCGTTCTGCCGTGTTTCAAATCTGATTTGTGCTCGCGAATTCGGTCAGAAATATGTCGTTTTGTCTCCCCGATATAGCAGTCACCGCAGATACAACTCAATTTGTAAACACCGGGGTACTGTAAGTCAGGGATGACATCCTTTACGGATGGGATCAGATCACGGATTTTGTGTACTGTATTGAATCGAACCTGGATCTTGTGTTTGTTTAGAATTTTGGAAATATTTTTGGTAACGCCTGCTATCTATGGGTTCCCCCTTGTCACCAGTGATAGCCAATGTTTTCATGGAGAAATTTGAATCAGACGCCATCCAGACATCCATCCTTAGTCCTTCCCTGTGGAAGAGATATGTGGATGACACTTTCGTCATTTGGCCACATGGCCTCCCAGCTTTGAACCATTTCCTAGACCACATCAATTCCAGACACCCATCCATCAAATTCACCATGGAAGTGGAGAAAGATGGCAAGCTGCCATTCTTGGATGTTCTGTTTGAGAGAACTGATGGGTCTTTGGGACATTCTGTTTACAGGAAGCCCACCCACATAGATTCCAACTTGAAGCCTGATTCCCACCACCACCCGGCTCAAAAGAATTATCTCATGAAAACATGATACCATAGAGCTCATTGCATTTCTGACCAACACCACCTGACCAGTGAATTAAAACATGTACATCTAGCCCTCAAGATGAACGGTTACTCTGACCGTATCATCCACCAAGCTGTTTCTCCCACCATACAGAAACAACCACTTGACACTCTGATCAAAATCATCACAATGCAATACATAGCAGGCGTTGCCAAAAATATTTCCAAAATTCTAAACAAACACAAGATCCAGGTTCGATTCAACACAGTACACAAAATCCGTGATCTGATCCCATCCGTAAAGGATGTCATCCCTGACTTACAGTACCCCGGTGTTTCCAAATTGAGTTGTATCTGCGGTGACTGCTATATCGGGGAGACAAAACAATATATTTCTGACCGAATTCGCGAGCACAAATCAGATTTGAAACACGGCAGAATGAATTCGTCGGCCGTAGCTGATCATTGTCTCAACACAGCGGGTTCTCCTGAGATTGTTTTCTCCGATACCAAAGTACTATGCAAACCTCCCGATTATTACCAAAGATTTGTCCACGAAGCCATCCAGATAAACAAACATAGACACAACTTCAACCGAGAGGATGGTTTTAAATTAAGCAACCACTGGAAAGATGTCATAAACCAAGTCAAAACTTTAGCTACTTTATAAGCACACAGCATATTCTTTTCGAACTTTTCCATTTTTGTTTACATTTTTCCATTGCCCCCGTGCAGTGACCCACTGAATCCCCCGCACCCTCAACATAACAAAAGATGGATTAACTTAGCTCCGCACAACATCAATGTCCCCTACTTGGCTCCTCCCCCCCCCGCCCCTTAACCTGAATTTAAGCTCGAAGCTCTCAGAGCCTCCCCACTTGATGCAGCGATCTTGCTGTGACTGTTTCACCTGAAGACGGAAGCTTGTGTTGCCTTCAAAACGTCGTGATTTAATTGTTTACTTTTATTTTAATTTATTTTATTTTACCTACGTGACTTTACCGAAAAAACCAAAGAGTATGAATCCTTGCAGTCACGAAAGCCTCAAATCTAGAACTGAGTGGACTTGCCGAAGACTATAACCAGTGGTGTCAAGATCGGCCTCTAAGGAAGAGGATCATGAAAGACGCTACTGTACAGTTGGGAGGCAGTTGCTCTCAAACAACAACGGAGAGCAGAAGAGCGATGCTTGTCACAATGAGCGGAGGACCGGGTGGCTAAAAGTTGGGACAGTAGGGGGCACGGGTGGTGCATCTGCCAATCATCTCAGTCAACCCTTGGCAACTGGGCCTGTCCTTTCACCTCCTGTCAGCGATAGGAGTGTACCTGGCCTGACAAGTGCTGTGGTGACGTCACCGCGACAAAATGGCGAATGGCGGTTGTTGTGCGCTCACCAGGCCAGTCTGAGTCGAGCTTCTCTGCGACGAGGGCGAGGTGCAGGTCTCCTCGGAGCATCTCGTCAATGTCCGAGTCTACAGCCACACGGACGACACGGCGGCCATGGCCCATCACTGGCAGTCAGTAACGTGCTGTCACGGGCAGTCATGGATTGTCAGTCATGGGTGGTCACGGTTGGTCACAGTCCCTATACCCACACAGCCACCACACACACGCAGACTGCACACACGTGCACAGCGTTCATACACCCACACAGCCTCCACACCCACACAGACTCCATCAGGCGCACACGTACAGCCTCCACGCACGCACACAGCCTCCACGCACGCACACAGCCTCCACGCACGCACACAGCCTTCACGCATGCACACAGCCTCCACGCATGCATACAGCCTCCACGCATGCATACAGCCTTCACGCATGCACACAGCCTCCACACACGCACACAGCCTCCACGCATGTACACAGCCTCCACACATGCACAGCCTCCACGCATGCACACAGCCTCCACGCACGCACACAGCCTCCACGCATGCACACAGCTTCCACGCACGCACACAGCCTCCATGCACGCACACAGCCTCCACAAACATACAGCCTCCACACACACGCACTGTCCTCACACATGCACACACACAGCTTCCACCGACGCACAGCCTCCACAAACACACACACCACAGCTTCCACCCATGCACAGCCTCCACCCATGCACAGCCTCCACATATCCATAAACAGTCTCTACACACAAGCACGTAACCTCCACAGTGATGGAGTGATGCGCTTCCCACGATAGAGTGATGCGGGGTCCCATTCCCTCTTACAGTGATGGATTGATGCAGGGTCCCATTCACTCTCATTGCAATGGAGTATTTCGGGGTCCCATTCACTCTCATAGTGATGGATTGATGCGGGGTCCCATTCACTCTCATTGCAATGGAGTATTTCGGGGTTCCATTCACTCTCATAGTGATGGATTGATGAGGGGTCCCATTCACTCTCATTGCAATGGAGTATTTCGGGGTCCCATTCACTCTCATAGCGATGGATTGATGAGGGGTCCCATTCACTCTCATTGCAATGGAGTGAACCGGGTTCCCACGATGGAGCTATTCGGGGTCCCATTCACTCTCATCGCAATGGAGTGATGTGGGGGTCCCTTCGTGAGTTGAGGTTCCCCATGTGATTAGTGTTGCTGTGGCTTCGCTCTCGCGCTCTCAGACTCGCGCCCGTTGTGTTCGCCCGGTGCCCACTGGTGCCAATGTTGAGGAGGTTACCTGTTTCCATGAGGTACAGCAGTGTCACCATGGTGATGGTCGTGGTTTTTGTCCGTGTGACCGTTCGGCGCAACAGTCGGATGAGTCGCGTGTATCGCCTCCGCAGGACAAACACCACCTCGCTCGGCAGCGCAATGGCTTCCTCCTCATCCACCTCCTCGTCGTCTGGCCCAGCCGTACTCACCTTCTGTGTCTCCCGTACCTCCCCTGGCACTATCGTCACAACCTCCACTGCCTCTGTGGGCTTCCGAATCTTCATCTCCTTGCCGCGCGCTGTCGCATCATCTGCCTCCTCTGGGACCATTGTCTCAAAGCCCGCCACTGTCCCAGACTCCTCGACCTCTGCGGTGTCTTCGCTCGCTGCGCCCTCCGGCATCTCCTCGTGGCCCCGTCTCCACGCTGGTTCCTCGGGTTGCGGCCCGCTACCAGCCGTGGTGCCGTTGCTGTGGCACTCGGCTCCCCTGCTCCACGCTGCTGCACCGCGCCGGACGTCCTCCCACTCGGTCTGCGTTTGCGTCGTCTCCCTGCGCACGTCCAATCTCATCATCGTGGTGCTCGTGCTGGTGGTGCTCGTGGTCTTCCGCACCAAAACCTTCGTCCTTTTTTTCTTCTTCTTCTTCTCCTTCTCTTCAGTCGTCGTTGCCGTCGTCGTAGCGGCAGTCCCCGTGCCTCTTCCCCAGCTGCTGTCTGAGACAGATCCATCTGTCGACTCCATCTCCTCGGCAACATCATAGTAATCACTGCTCTCGCTTTCCCTGGAGGTCACTTCGTGGCAGGTCAAATCGAGAGAGGTCACATCGAGAGAGGTCACGTCAAGAGAGGTCACATTGAGAGGGGTCACGTCGAGAGAGGTCACATCGAGGGAGGTCACATTGAAAGGGGTCACGTCGAGAGAGGTCACGTCGAGAGAGGTCACGTCGAGAGAGGTCACGTCAAGAGAGGTCACATTGAGAGGGGTCACGTCGAGAGGGGTCACGTCGAGAGGGGTCACGTCGAGAGAGGTCACGTACTGTGAGCTTGTGTCGCGAGATGTCGCATCATGGAACGTGGTGTCCTGCGATGTTAACTCATCCGTGGACACTCCCTGCGCAGTCTCAGATTTTTCCTCGAGTGGCGTCAATTCTCGAGTGGATTCCTCAACAATTTCTGGTGTCTCCGTCCATGTCTCCCGCTCATCCTGAGTGTCGCCACTTTGCGACTCAGCCTCCTTCTCCTCCACCTCCATCGATTCAGCAATGTCTCCTGCTCCCGTCCCCGCCATCTTGAAGACATAGATGCGCTTGTCGAACCGCAGCGATATTCCTGTTGCGTGCATCTCCTTCGCCGGCGTCAACGCCGCGTCCGTCCCCCCCTTATCTATGCCGTCTCCCTGACGGTTGTCCAGGGTGCTCCCTTGCCCTCCCTTCTCCTCCTCCTCCGACTCCTCCTCCTCCGCTGCCTCCGCCGCCGCCGACCCTTCAGGACTTAGGTAGAAGAGGAAGTCGTCTTCGGCGGCGGCCGGCGGGAGCGGGGAGGGCGGCTCCACCAGGATGAGCGGCTCCGCCAACATCCCGGCCGGCGGAGAGCGAATCAGACGCTCGGCCGCCGGGTCGCGGGGAGACGCGAGGCCACGCAGCTCCAGCAACGGCATGCCGGCCCTGCTGGCCCTGCCGGCCCCACTGCGAGTCACTCTGCGGGCCGAGCTCACTATCGGGCTTGGGCCCATGGCAGGGATCTCATCGCTGTGATCGGCGACCGCTGCTCCGGGTGCCGACCGCACGGGGAGCGGTTCTCTCTCAACTGACTCTGCTCTCAGTTCTGGTTGTGCTGTTGGTTTTGGTTTAATTGGTTTAACTTCTGATGTTATTGCCTCTGGTTTCACTGGTTCCTGTTTTGATTCAAGTTTTACTGGTCCTGGTTTTGGTTCCACTTTCACTGGTCCTAGTTTTTGTTCCACTTTCACTGGCTTTGGTTCCAGTTTGACAGCTTCCAATTTCACTGGTTCTGGTTTTGGCTCAAGTTTTCCTGGTTTTTGCTCCAGTTTAACAGGTTCTGGTTTTAGTTTCAGTTTCACCATCTCTGGCTTTGGTTCCAGTTTTACAGGCTCCAATTTCACTGGTTCTGGTTTTGGTTGCAGTTTTACTGGTTCTGGTTTTGGCTCCAGTTCAACTGGCTCTGGTTTTGGTTGAAATTTCACCGACTCTGGCTTTGGTTCCAGTTTGCCAGCTTCCAATTTCACTGGTTCTGGTTTTGGTTCAGGTTTCGCTGGTTTTGGTTTAAGTTTCGCTGGTTCTGTCTTTTGCTTCAGTTTAACTGGTTCTGGTTTTAGTTTTACTGGTTTTGACTCTAGTTCAACTGGCTCTGCTTTTAGTTCCAATTTTATTGGCTGTGGTTTTGGTTCCAGTTTCGCTGGTTTTGTCTCCAGTTTAACTGGTTTTTGTTCTAGTTTCATTAGATCTGGTTTTGGTTCTAGTTTCATTGGTTCCGGTTTTTGTTCCAGTTTCACTGGTTTTGGTTCCAGTTTCACTAGATCCGGTTTTGGTTCTAGTTTAATTGGTTCCGGTTTTTGTTCCAGTTTCACTGGTTTTGGTTCCAATTTCACTGGTTCTGGTTCCAGTTTCACTGGTTCTGGTTTTGGTTCCACTTTCACTGGTTCTAGTTTTGGTTCCAGTTTCACTGGTTCTAGTTTTGGTTCCAGTTTCACTGGTTCTGGTTCCACTTTCACTTGTTCTGGTTCCAGTTTCACTGGTTCTGGTTTTGGTTCCAGTTTCACTGGTTCTAGTTTTGGTTCCACTTTCACTGGTTCTAGTTTTGGTTCCAGTTTCACTGGTTCTGGTTTTGGTTCCAGTTTCACTGGTTCTAGTTTTGGTTCCACTTTCACTGGTTTTAGTTTTGATTCCACTTTCACTGGTTCTAGTTTTGGTTCCAGTTTCACTGGTTCTGGTTTTAATTCCAGTTTCTCTGGTTCTGCTTCTAGTTTCTCTGGTTCTGGTTTTGGTTCCAGTTTCACTGGTTTTGGTTTTTGCTCCAGTTCAACTGGCTCTGGTTTTGGTTGCAATTTCACTGGCTCTGGCTTTGGTTCCAGTTTTACAGGCTCCAATTTCACTTGTTCTGGTTTTGGTTGCAGTTTTACTGGTTCTGGTTTTGGCTCCAGTTCAACTGGCTCTGGTTTTGGTTGCAATTTCACTGGCTCGGGCTTTGGTTCCAGTTTGCCAGCTTCCAATTTCACTGGTTCTGGCTTTGGTTCAGGTTTCGCTGGTTTTGTCTTTTGCTTCAGTTTAACTGGTTCTGGTTTTGGCTCCAGTTCAACTGGCTCTGGTTTTGGTTGCAATTTCACTGGCTCTGGCTTTGGTTCCAGTTTTACGAGTTCCAATGTCACTGGTTCTGGTTTTGGTTCAAGCTTCGCTGGTTTTGTCTCAAGTTTAACTGGTTCTGGTTTAAGTGTCACTGGTTCAGGTCTTTGCTCCAGTTTAACTGGTTCTGGTTTATGTGTCACTGGTTTTGATTTTGGATCCGGTTTCACTGTTTCTGGTTTTGGTTCCATTTTCTCTGGTTCTGGTTCCAGTTTTACTAGTTCATGTTCAAATTTCACTGATTCTGGTTTTATCTTTAGTTTAACTGGTTCTGGTTTAAGTGTCACTGGTTCTGGTCTTTGCTTCAGTTTAACTGGTTCTGGTTTTAGTTTCAGCTCGACTGACTCCAATTCAACTGGCTCTGGTTTTGGTTCCAATTTCGCTGGTTCTGGTTTTGACTCCAGTTCAACTGGTTCTGGTTTTGTCTCCAGTTTAACTGGTTTGGGTTTTTGCTCCAGTTTAACAGGATCTGGTTTTAGTTTTAATTTCACTGGCTCTGGCTTTGGTTCCAGTCTGACAGGTTCCAATGTCACTAGTTCTGGGCTTGTCTCTAGTTTAACTGGCTCTGGTTTAAGTTTCACTGGTTTTGATTTTGGCTCCAGTTTCACTGGTTCCGGTTTTGGTTCCAGTTTTACTGGATCTGGTTTTGGTTCAATTTTCACTGGTTGCGGTTTTGACTCCAGTTTCACTGGTTTTGATTTTGGTTTCAGTTTCACTAGTTCTGATTTTGACTCCAGTTCCACACGTTTTACTGCTTCGGGTTTTGGTTCAAGTTTTGCTTCCAGTTTCTCCAATTGCAGTTTAACTGATTCTGGTTTTGGTTCCAGCTTCAATGCTTCTGGTTTTGACTCCAGTTCCACACGTTTTACTGCTTCGGGTTTTGGTTCAAGTTTTGCTTCCAGTTTCTCCAATTGCAGTTTAACTGATTCTGGTTTTGGTTCCAGCTTCACTGCTTCTGGTTTTGACTCCAGTTCCACACGTTTTACTGCTTCGGGTTTTGGTTCTAGTTTTGCTTCCAGTTTCTCCAATTGCAGTTTAACTGATTCTGGTTTTGGTTCCAGCTTCACTGCTTCTGGTTTTGACTCCAGTTCCACACGTTTTACTGCTTCGGGTTTTGGTTCTAGTTTTGCTTCCAGTTTCTCCGATTGCAGTTTAACTGGTTCTGGTTTAATCCCCCCTGGTTCTGTCTCCATGACTGCCGATTCCTCTGCCTCCCCTACCTCATCTTCACGCTCCACCTCCGACCTTCGCCTCACCACTGTGGCAAGTTTGGTGAGAGGGAAGCGACACAACGTCACTCCCATGGTCACCATTTCCCGGCCCACCACCTCCATTGCTCCGCCTTTCCTCCTGCCATCAGCTTCATCTTCCGCGTCATCCTCTGTCTCTTCGGGAATGGCCTCCTCCACCTCGTATGCGGAGGTGCGTCTCTCCGCGTCGTCGTCGTCGGCAGCCGCTCTGGCCACCCTGGCCGCCGCACTCGTCGAGACCTCGTAGGTCACCTCTTCCGAACTCGGCGTATCCGGCGTTGGAAACGGAACCTCCGAGCTCTCATCCTCCTCCTCCTCCTCCTCCTCCATGCCGTCCAGCTCGGTCGTTTCCCTGGGAGCCTCCTCTTCCCTGGTTCTCCTACCCTCTTTGTCGGTCTCCTCTTCACCAGTGACTCTCCTTGTGGTGTGGCCACCAAAGGGGGATATTTCGATCACCTTTTCCTTTCTCACTGTGACCTCTTCCCTTAGGACCCTAGTCTCCACCGCCTTCCGTCTGCCGCCAAGGGTCAGTCGACTAACCCAGCGTTCTTCTGACCTTTCTGCCGCATCTTCATTCTCTTCATTGTCCTCCTCCTCCTCGTCACCGCTGTCGTAATCGTCATTGACGAATATCCGCTGCACCTCGCCAGGAAGGCTCCGGAGTTTCCCATGGTCTCGCGGTGTTGGCTCGTCGCTCTGCGTCCTCTTCCGCGTCACGACCACGTGCTCACCGCTGGCCCCGGTTAGCTGGTACACGATGCTTTTCTTCAGGTTTCTCATCCTCACACACCTCGTCACGCCCGCCTCCTTCTCCTCGTCATCCTTTTCCTCCACCTGCATCGTCACCGTGCGCGGGAAATCAATTTGGAGCTTGTGCCGGTGTTGCCGTCGCGTCGTCTCCTCGTCCTGCTGGAAAGCCTCACTTGTCTCTCCCTGGAACGTTAATTTCTTCTCTACTTCCTCCTCATCTTCCACGATGAGACTTCTAGTCGTATCCGCACGGTATACAAAGGGGTCCTTCTCAGCCGATGCATCCTCCTCTTCCTCTTTTTCCGTCTCCTCGTCAGCAATGTCGTCAGCCTCCGCGGGGGACAGCGCCTCCTTCTCCTCCACAATGGAGCTCTCCTTGAGAGAGAGATCTCCATATGCCGCCTCCGAGTCAGAGTCCACCTCGACCCACTCCGCCCCATTGCGAGTCTCCGCGTCGCCCGCCACCACTGATTCCTCACGTTCTGTCGCTTCCGCCGTTTCCTCCAGCTCAGTTTTTTCTGGTCTTTCTGGTTCTTCCGAAACAGATTTAGAAATTTTGAGGACCAATACAGCCCGCGAGACTCTGGTGGGGGTGTCCCCATCTGCTCCTCGCTCCGCTGGTTTCATCACGACATCTTCACACAGATCCTCCACCACTGCACTCTCCTTGGGGTAGGTGGAGTAGAGCTCACGTGCGATCTTCTCTTCTTCGCTCCTCATTCCATCCAGCTCGTCGGCCTTTCTGCCCATCATCAGGCTCATGGCTTCCTCCACTCCGAGCTTCACCTCCTCCCTCATCTTGCGTTGTTCTTCGCTCAACTCTACCATAACTTCCTCGCGCTTCATCTCCTTCCGGCTCCTGCTCCGGTTAACCTCCTCGACCCTGCGCTTTACATCCTTGTCAGATGGCCATGACGCCATGACCGAATCTGTCATCACCTTTTCTGAAACTTCTGAGCGTTCCTTTTGGGTGATCTCATCGCTCCGCTCTTCCCTTGTCACCGCAGCATCATCAGGGGCCTTCAATGACAACGTGAGTGGTTCCGGTTCCTCCACTCCACTCTTGACTGTCACGATCTCAGGACTTGACCACCCAGGAACATTGTCTGGAGTGAATTTCTCCACCGGCTCGGTGGTAACATCTTGCGGCGCAGGTGACAGCCGCGGTTCCGTGTCCAGCTCGGGTTGTTGAGGAGGAAACACCTCGAAGGGCAATGAGTCGACGGGTGTGGTCACCAGTCCCGTCAGGTCCATCCTGGAGGCCTCTTCGTTGGCTGCGGTGCCACTGTTGGCCCCGAACACCATGATGCGCACCCACACCCTCCTCTCCACCACTAAAGCCCCCGCGTCTCCCCCATCGACGTCCGCGCCGTCGACGTTGTGAAACGCCAAGTCCGCCTCCTCGTCATGTGCAGTCATCTCAGGGTGGGCGGCCGCCACTTTGTGCAGGAGGCCCAGGGGTAGGGCAACACCCACGTCCTTCAGAGCGCCGCCCACGCCCCGGCCTGGTGGCACCACCACTGACACGGCACGGCATTCCGAGAGTGCCGGGGGGGTGGGCAACGTGACCCCGTGCATGCTGACGGCGAGCTTGGGGACGGGGCCCTCTGCCCGCCGGCCCCCCGGCCCTTCCGCGGACTTGGGGAACGCAGAGGCCAAGGATGTGGGCTCGGGCATCTCTGGCAAACGATGCTTTCCCAGATCTTCGCAGGCAAGTGCCGACCTTTCCGCCGAGACCATTTCGGTTTCTGGCAAGGAATCCTCGGCTCGACCGACCTTCAGAGCCTCTCCACCTGACTTCCTTTGGGCTGCACCGATGCCTTCCAGCGATGTCTCTGGATCCTCCACATCTCCTTCCTTCCACGTCGTTGTGCCGTCGCCGGCGGTGGTGGCGCTGACCAGCGGCCGTACGTTTGCGGCAGCGGTGATGTGGCGCGTGGTGACTCGCTTGATGAGACTGCCGCGCCCACCGCCCTGGTGGCCTCCCCTGGCCCAGGACTCCGTCACCACGGTGTACTCGCGGCTCGCCAATCCCGCCGTCACGTCGAGGACTGATGCCAAATCTGGCTTTGGTTCCGATCCCGAACTTGGCTTCTGCTCGGGAACTTCCGTTTGGGTTTTGACAGCGGCGACGATAGTGGTGGCGATAGTGGGTGATCGAGTCTCCTGTTCGCTCCTCAGCCACAGTTCCAACTCTGGTGGTTTTTGTTCTGCCACCTTTTCTTGTGCAGGTCCCTCCCCACTCTCTCTTGGCTCTCCTGTTTTCATTCGCAGCCTCAGTTCCAGTTGTTTACTACCCTCCAGGTCGGCGCTGGGTTCTGGTTGAGCTGAATCATCAGTTGGAATTGGGCCGTGCCTTTCTGCCGCGTTGCCACGTGGCCCCATGGTCACATCGCCCTCATCTTCCTCCTGCATCTCCCCGCCCCTCGTCATCCACAGAACTCGTCGCTTCACTTCCGTCCCAACCCCACGTGACCCCGTGTTCCCCAGCTCGGTTGGCGACGTTGGGGGAGTCCTGAATGCTCCTCGCTCCTCAAGGGAAGATGATCCAGACAGAGAAATGCACGCCAGTTTCTCCACCTCCTCCTCTTCCTCTTCAGGCTCGTCGTCGAATCTGGGGCTGGGTGCTGCCACATCGTCAATTTTCGCAGCGCTTGCCTTTGCGAGAGTCGTCGTTCTGTGCGTAAACATGGTCATGCGAACTGTTTGGGTCGGCGCAAAGACCTCATCTTCCGCCTCGTCCTGGGCCTCCCGCAGGGCCAGCTCCTGGGCCTCCGAGACCTCGCGTGCTCCAAACACCACCCAGCCCTCGCTCGACAAACCCTCCACTTCCTCGTCCTCCTCCTCCTCACTGGCAGCCGACATGGCGGCGGCAGTAGCATCGGCGGTGACGACCGTGGCGCCTTCCTCGGTGCGACCCGGCGCTGCAAATGCCAGCGAATGGACGATGTCGACCGTGCGAGGTGGAGCCCGCTGCTTCATCAGGATCTCCTCTTCTTCCTCTTCTTCTCTCCGAGTGACAGCGATCGCCGCCGCCATCATCGCGCTCATCTCTTTACCGTCGTCATCATAGTCCCTTTTCATCACAAAATCGGCCGGTGCCCCGGTCTCGAGCCGGACGCTCGACGCCTCCGCCAGACTGCGAGCTCCGGGCGCCAGGATCGCCGTCACGCGCAGAACCTCGTCACCCTCCTCCTTGAGGCTGGCGGCATCTACGTCAATGGCGCGAGACAAGCGTGCCGCGCCCTCCTCTGTCCACGTTGGGCCGCGCGATCGTTTGCGTCCGTGAAGCCAGCGATGACGTGTCCGTTCGTCGCCATCGTCGGTCGAGTTTTTTTGGACGAATCCAGTTCGGGGGGGTTCAAATCAAATGAATCCAGAACGATCGGAGGATGGCGAAACAAAACCATCGCAACGGAAACAACGTGGAAGCCAGAATTGCGTGTAGGTTGCGGTGGGATGAGAGCAAAGTGACCGCAGGAGCCGATCGGCGGGAAAAAAAACAGGATTTTTGTTCGGTCGAATTGGCAAAGCCACAGGCGCAAGCAGTGCGCGGGTACACGCAGCGCAACACAAAGGAGCGCGGGTACGCGCAGCGCAAATGCAGGTGGACGGCAAATGCAGGTGAACGGCAAAAGGAGAGAGCGCAAACGCACACAGTCACGCGCAGTCACGCATACACGGCAGGCACGCAAGCTCATATCCACGGTACACACAACATACACGCCACGCAGTACGTACACGCACACAAAACGCACGCAATGCACACAGGCAGTACGCACACACACAGTGCAACACGGCACACACAGTACACACACAATGTATGTGCAGCAGGCACGCGCACACACGCACATCACAGCGTAGAACAAGAGCAAAGAAATTAGCAAAGTAAAGATGGTGCTCGAGAGAGAAACCAGGTGGAAACCGCAGCAATAGGAAAACTCAGGAGTGGGCGGAGAGAGCGGAGGAGGAGGTGAAGGGGAAGAAAGAGGAAGGAGAGAGGGACAGGAGGAGCACAGACTCCTGGGTTAGCTCGTGGCACACACCCACAGCTTCCACAGGGTGCAGCACACATACACAAACACTCGGCATGCCCCGTGCCCTCCTCCTGTGGTGTGGTTACGCCGCACACAGTGAGACACCACAGCCAGAATCGCCCAGAGCCTGGGTCTCAGCTTGGTCACCCATACTCACACAGAGACCCATGGACTTGCATAGAGATGCAGTAGACTCACACGTGTGTGTGGTTACAAGCGTGGTGCAGGCCACCCACCAAATCACCCCCTCGTGCGCAGTGCCGGTCTTCATAGGTGCTCGCTAACTGCACTTACCCTGGCAGCCTGCGTGGGCTACACAGGAGACCTTTGTCTATATGTGCACATGCGTGTGTGTGCGTGTGGGGAGTTAGCATGCTGCGCTATGAATGCGGTGACCCAAGTTCGATTCCCACTCACAGACAACACCAGTGACTCTCAAATGAGTACTTGGTGTGGTGTGTAAACATCGCTGCTGGGGAGACATCGGCTGCCGAGCGTGGTGGTGGCCATCCACCCCCGAGTGTGCCATGCCGGCCAACACAGGTGCTTGCTAACAGCACTTGCCCCAACAGTCTGTTAAGGCTATATGGTGGTTCTTTGTCATTGTGTGTGCACGTGTGTGTACGTGTGTGTGTGTACCCAGGTGTGTGTTTGTACATACACTTGTGTGTGTGTACGCGTGTATGTGTGTACGCGTCTGCGAGCGTGTATGTGTGTGCGCGCTACCCACCTGGCGTCAAATACTCTCTGTCACTCTCATCATACAGGGGTTCCTGCATAACCACACACGTACGCACACAGACAAACAATGGGGGGCGCACACACATACACAACATGCATAGTGTTAACGCCTCCTCGTGGTGACGTCACTGAACAAAGACCTGTGCCGATGTTGGTACTGGTGCTGCTGATGATGTGCGAGAGGGTGGTGTCACTCACATCGTCATCTTCATCAGCCAAAGGCTCCTGTGGACGTCGACGGGGGATGTTGAGGGACCGGGGGGGGGGGGGTATGAGAGAGGCGCGCACACGCAAAGCGTTACCCTCCACTGCTGTGCGTACGTGTGTGTGTGTATGCGTGACCGTGTCAGTGCGTACGTGAGGCGGTAGCGTGATGTTGAGGCTGCACACTGGGGTCGCGTCTGCTGCCCGCGGCTCCTGGTAGAAGCAGAGGCGCCCACACGGCTCCAGGCTGGGGTCACGCACCTACTCACCACAGGCAAAGGTCCCCTGTGTAGCCCACACAGACTGCTGGGGCAAATGCTGTTAGCGAGCAGCATCTATTAAGAACGGTACACGAGGACGGTACGGATGGCATCACGCCCGACCGCCTTTGTCGACCCAGTGGCAATGTTTACACACTGCACCAGGTACTCATTTAAGGCTGAGTTGACCTAGGGGAGGTCCAAGACCAGCTCAGATAATTGTCACAGTTGTTGGTCGTGAGCGGGAATCGAACTCATGCCGTGTCACACGCTGTGTCACACGCACACGCCCTGTCACACGCACACGCAGTGTCACACGCACACGCGCGTCGGTTCACGTGCCAGTCGTGTCACGCGCACACGCAGTGTCACGCGCACACGCTGTGTCACATGCACACGCAGTGTCACGCGCACACGCTGTGTCACATGCACACGCAGTGTCACACGCACACACAGTGTCACACGCACACGCTGTGTCACACGCACACACAGTGTCACACGCACACGCTGTGTCACACGCACACACAGTGTCACACGCACACGCTGTGTCACACGCACACGCAGTGTCACACGCACACGCAGTGTCACACGCACACGCAGTGTCACACGCACACGCAGTGTCACACACCGTGTCACACGCCCTGTCACACGCACACGCGCGTCGGTTCACGTACCTGTCGTGTCACACGCACACGCGTGTCGTGTCACGTGCCAGTCGTGTCACACGCACACGCAGTGTCACATGCGCGCGCCGTGGCACACGCACACACATGATCTTGTGGTCACCTTCACACTGAATGACAGGCGGTTCTCGCGAAACGCGTGGAACGGCAGCGACAGCCCCTGACCCCGTGGCGTCAATGGAGTCAGGTTTCCTTGGCAACTAACGAGAAGGGGTGCCCCGTCCAGCACCTACACGCACCACACAAAGACAAAGTTCCCCAATGGAGCCTTCAACAGACTGCCGGGGCAAGTGCTGTTCGAGAGCAGCACCTATGAAGTCCGGCATGGTACACGAGGCCGTGGGTGGCCAGCACCTCGGCTGGCCACCTTTGTCTACCCTGTGGTGATGTTTACACATTGCACCAGGTACTCATTTGAGGCTCAGTCCACCTCGGGGAGGCCCAAAACCAGTTCAGATAAGCATCACCGATGCTGGCTGGGTCGCTGGGTGTGTGTGTGTGTGTTCACACCTGCCCGTGTGTGTGTGTACTCATCTATCCTCGCATTCGTGTGCTCCTGCACTCACGCATGTGCGCACACATCTACCTGTGCATGCACATGCGTACGAGCGCTGGCACACGTGTTCGCGCACGCGTGTGCGTGCATCCGTGCTCGTGCGTGCGTCGGTGTACGCGTGTATACACGCGCACATATACGCGCGCGTGCGTCTGTACATGTGTCAGTGCGTGCGTGCGTGCGCTCACCTCCACGGTCTTGCTGCGAGCCAGTTGCGTGTGGCGCGCCCGCGCGGGAGCGCCCCCCCTTGACCCGCCGCCCCCCGCGTCGCGCTCCTCGCAGGCGCAGGCGCAGGAGAGGCGCGCGAGCCGCGGGTCGGTGTCGTGGCGCCGCGCCCACACGCGGAAGTGCGCCAGGTACGGCACGCGGGACAGCTCGCCGTACGTTAGGGGGGCCAACGCCGGGGCGTCGCGGGCGGCCGTGCATAGCACCGGCCAGAACCTGCGTGGTGGTTCGGGGGGGGCGCGACCGTGGGGGAATGACCGCGGGGAGCGACCACGGGGTTGACCACGGGGGGTGAGGGGGAGCGGGGGGGGGGCGGGGGGGGGGTGACCACGGGAGAACGTGACATCACAGCGACTATAGCAACATACGACGGCAATCGCCGTTGCCCACTAGGTGGCAGTGACGTCACCACACTGCTTGTACCGGGCTCAGTGCACTTTGAGGCGACGAGGAGTGTCGAAGGATATCTGCTGGCAGGAGGCCGCAGGACAGACCGAGGTGCCGTGAGTTGACTACAAATACAAAGATCCGCCGCCATAGCCTTTACAGATTGTTAAGGCAATTGTTAGCAAGCACATATGAAGGCCAAAACGGCACACGAGAGGGTGGATGGCCAGAACCACGCCCAGCCGTATTTGCCTCCCCAGTGCTGATGTTTGCACACTGTGCCAAATACTAATTGGAGGCCGAGTCGACCAAGAGAAAACCCACTGGTGTTGGTCGTGAGCGGGAATCGAACTCGGGTCGCCGGTATCGGAGCACGGTGCGCTTACCGTTGTTCCACCACTTCACCTGTCATGACACAGGTGCACGCTGGTACACTCTGAATCAACGACAGCGCCCACGTGCTGTGGGCACGTACCCACGTATGCGTGTGTGTGCGTGCCACTGCCCATGTGTGTGCGTGCATGCGGTTACCGTGCTGACACGCTGGTGTGGAAGGTCAGGCTGTCTCCGGACACGGTCAGCGGGGTCGTGTCCGTGATGTCCTCCCACACGGCCGGAGCAACGCCTCCTACCGACAACAATAAAGGCAAAGCTCACCCGTGCAGCCCACACAGGCTGCTGGGGCAAGGGCCCTTAGCAAGCAGCACCTACGAGGGGGTAGGTGGCCAGCACCATACCAGGTCGCCTTTGTCTTCCTAATGCTGACGTTTATATTTTGTACCATGTGTTCATTTAAGGTTGAACGGCCCATAACCAGTTTAGATACACGAGCGGGAAATCGTAGCGCAGTGCACTAAACATGTTGCCACCACTCTCCTACTGCTCACAAACAAAAAAGGGAGAAAGATCTCCTATATAGCCTTAATAGCCTGTTTGGGCAAGTGCTGTTAGCGAGCACCTGTGAAGGCCGGCAGAGCACACGAGGGGGTGGGTGGCCAACATTACACCCGGACGTCTTTGTCTCCGCAGTGGCGATGTTTACACATCACACCAGGTACTAATTTGAGGCTGAGTAGACCTACGAGAGGCCCAGGACCAGTTCAGATAACCGTCACTGGTGTTGGCCGTAAGCGGGAATCGAACTCGGGACAACAGGTTCCTAGCGCAGCGCGACAACCGCTACACTACCGCTCGCAAACACACACGCATACGTGTACACACACGTTTAGATACGCGCACACGCATACGCTTGTACCGGCGATGCTGCACAACAGGCGTAGGTTGCCGTGGTGACGTGGGGGCGTCGTTTCGGCTGGTGTCCCGTGCGGTTGTGGTAGTGGCATTGTCACCTGCACAACACAAACACAACCATGTACAACAATGGAACAATCACAAGCGCAACCATTGCACAAAGCAACAATCGCGTGCGTTTTACACCAACTGCGTGCGTCTTCTGATCCACGGGCTCCTTTCTCTGTGTGACTATCATCACAGTGGTCTATCCACTGCTAGATGGAGATCAATGCGGTGACGTCTTCCATAATACAGGTTTTTTTTTTGGGTTAGATCGCGTACATTTTATTATGGACTAGCTGTACTACCCGGCTTCGCCCGGGACTTGGATTCACCACGGGCGGCCGCCTTTGTCCCCCCTGTGGCGATGTTCACACACTACACCAGTTACTCGTTTGAGGCTGAATCGACCTAGGGGAGGCCCAGGACCGGTTCAAATAATCGTCACCGGTGGTGACCGTGAGCGGGAATCGAACTTGGGTTGCCGGGTTCATAGCGCGGTGCGCTAACCACTACACTACAATGCGTCACACTTCCACGTGCGCGGGTCACATGACAAATTTGACGTCACAGCTCACTTGCCGTGCAAAAAAAATATGCATTATTGAGCTCCCCTCCCCCCCCCCCCAAAAAAAAATACAAAAGTCTATTTTTATAATTTTTGCATGATGTACATTCTGGAAAGTACCCACATGGCAAATTTCAAGTTTGTTGCATGTCGGGAAGTACACTAAACATTTTGAACAGACACACATATTCACAACATTGCCTTTTATATATATGGAGATGATATTGGTCGCAAAAGCATACGTGTTAAAGTGGTGACGTCTCTTCCCCTAAGTGTGTCCTTTAAATCCACGTGCTCCTTTGTCTCTCGGTGCACTTCCAAGCGTGGCGTCTCCCACGTGCTTCTCTGCACGACTTCTCGGTGTGCGTTGGAGAGCTCTCTGCGTTTCCCGACCGCGTGCATCCATGCCAACTCCTCTGTGCGCATGCACGGCGCTCACCGTGATCGGTCGATGGAACTTGCGTCTGCGTGGTTCCAGGGTCACGACCGGGCCAAAGGTCACGCGGTTTCCCGGCCAATCGCGGGCCGGCGCGTCGGGCCCCGCCTGAGCCTGCCAGCGACACGAAACGAGCGCCCCCCCCCCCCGCTCCAGTTAGCCTGGCCGCCTCTCCCGGGCCACACCCTGCAATATCGCCATTCCTATTGAACTCGCTCTCCCAGGAGGGCCTTACCAAGTCTCAGGATGGTCCTGCCGGGTTTGCTGCTGGTGCTGCTGCTGCTGTGCGAACCCAGTTGAGTGATTTGCAGATAATATTTGAGCATGGGGGATATTTGGGCCGATAGCAGTTCCAGTGGATGGGTGGGTTTTGATATAGGAGGGAATATGAGAACGCGGAGTAAATCCACGCAGAATCGAGGGAGAACATACAAACATACATACAAACCGCACACACTCTCGCTCACTCACTCATTCACCCAACCACTCATTCAACCAATCACTCACTGCTGCTCACCTGGAGGCCGAGGCGGATTTGGCGAGTGAGGGCCCCCTCGGGGAAGGCCACGCGCACCCCAGGGACCCCCCGGCTCCACAGGGCCCCCCCCTGGGGGCCCAGCACCCCTGTCTCCATGGTTATGCGTGACACCAGGGCCAGGAACTTGGGAAAGTCCTTGGTGAGGACGCGGCAGGACTGACGCGTGAGCATAGGGGACTCGCCCTCCAGATCTAAAGAGACAAAGGGCCCCCCAAAGAAAGCCCACATGGACTGTTGGGGCAAGTGCTGTTAGCGAGCACCCTTGCACATCAACAAACAGCCGCCATTCGCCACTAAGCCCGTGCATTCTATTTAGCTCTCCTTTCTTGGCCTTTCCTTATTCCTATTTGTAGAAGGTGCCATGAGACATTAGTGCAAGGCGCCTTATAAATAAATGTCAATTATAATTATTAAGTGACAGTGACGTCACCAGAGCGTTTGTGCCAGGCCAGGTGCACTCCGAGGCCACGTGAAGTGTAGAAGGCTCGCTAAAAGGAAGTCACAAGACAGACCCAGGTGCCATGGGTTGACTGAGATGAACGGCCGATGCACCACCTACGCCCCCCTACTGTGCTAACTTGCTGCATTTTAACTGTCCGGCACTCCGCTCGTTGTTGTGAGCGTCACTTCTCTGCCCTCCATTGTTGGAGGGCGACTGCCTCCAACTGCTCAGTAGCGTCCTTCGCAAACCTTGTCCATCGAGGCCGACTTTGAGACCGCTGGTACAAGTCATTGGCAAGTCCACTCAGCTCCACATACTCCTGAACTGCATCAGTCCATCTCTTCTCCAGCCCAACTGTGCCCATTTCGCCCCCTCTATCCGAGCAAACAGAAGCTGCTTGGGCATGTGGTGGCTGGGCATGCAGGCTACATGACCTAGCCAACATCACCTTGCCCGCTGGAGGAGCTCACTTATGGGAATGTGTCCAGGTTTTTAAAAAAGATTTTTGAGCTCCTCACACAATCCATCCTAGTTAAACCCAGGATGGATCATAGGTAGGCCAGCCTGAAAGTTTCAAACTGGTGCAAATGTTCCATTAGAGGGTTGCACATTTCACAAGCAAAAATAAGGGAGGGCATAAATCTGGTGACAGACCACACAGTGTTATGAAAAGATAATGCTGCTTGGCTGATTCTATGAGGGAGGAGGTTGAGGAGGGAGGAGGTTGAGAAAGGAGGAGGTTGACGAAGAAAGAGGTTGAGGAAGGAGGAGGTTGAGGAGGAAGGAGGTTGAGGAGGGAGGAGGTTGAGGAGGTTGAGGAGAAAGGAGGTTGAGGAGGGAGGAGGTTGAGGAGGTTGAGAAGGGAGGAGGTTGAGGAAGAAGGACGTTGAGGAGGGAGGAGGTTGAGGAAGGAGGAGGTTGAGGAGGAAGGAGGTTGAGGAGGAAGGAGGTTGAGAAGGGAGGAGGTTGAGGAGGGAGGAGGTTGAGGAGGGAGGAGGTTGAGAAGGGAGGAGGTTGAGGAGGTTGAGGAGGAAGGAGGTTGAGAAGGAAGGAGGTTGAGGAGGGAGGAGGTTGAGGAGGGAGGAGGCGGCATGGTGGGGCCCCGCACCCTCGTTGGAGGCGGCCATCAGCTGGTGCAGCTCCTCGTCGCTGGGCGTGTATTTGTGCTCAGCCCACGTGGCGCCGTCGTTGCTCCGCAGCACCACCACCTCGCGGAGCCCCCCGCGCAGCGACGCGTAGTGGGGCGCCTCCAGCAGCACGGGCCTGACGGCGGTGACACACGAAGACACGCGCGGACACAAAGCTCCTCCGGGCCGCCGGCGACAGGGTTGCCCGTAAGGCGACAGGGTTGCTCGTAAGGCGACAGGGTTGCCCGTAAGGCGACAGGGTTGCCCGTAAGGCGACAGGGTTGCTCGTAAGGCGACAGGGTTGCCGGTAAGGCGACAGGGTTGCTCGTAAGGCGACAGGGTTGCCCGTAAGGCGACAGGGTTGCTCGTAAGGCGACAGGGTTGCCCGTAAGGCGACAGGGTTGCTCGTAAGGCGACAGGGTTGCTCGTAAGGCGACAGGGTTGCTCGTAAGGCGACAGGGTTGCTCATAAGGCGAGCGGGCGCTCGCGAAAGGCCCACGTCGCCTTTGTCTCCCCCCCCTTCCCCCCCCAACGCCGATTTACAAACTGCGAGGCTGGTTATCTCAGGGGAGGGCCCAGGACCGGTTGAGACACTCGACGCTGACGTTGGCCTCGAGCGGGAATCGAACACCGGGTTCACCGGGTTCGTCACGCAGGGCTCTCAGAATCAGAATCTTTATTGAGACTGGAGGAATCCGATGAGCTACGAAGCTCTTTTTCACAGATATCCAGCACAGGCAGGTCAGCTATTGCTTCACAGCTCCACACACAGTGACACAACACACACACTGTCAGGCAAGAAATGGAAGGTGCCTGAGATCTCGGCCACTGTGGCGATGGAGCGGTGAAATCAGCTCGCATGCTGCAGCTGGGTGGATTGTGGTGTCGTGAGACCGTGGGGGATGGAGGTGACTTGCGGAAGCAGTGGATTGCGCATGGCTGATGACGGTGAGTGTGCGTAAGAGTGTGCGTGCGTGTGCATGTACGTGCATGTGTCGTGTGTGTATGCACGTGCATACGTGCGTGTGCACGTGTGTGTGCACGTGTGTGTGCACACTTCACGTCTTAACATGCACATAGCCTGGCACAAGCGCCGTGGTGACATCACCGCCACTTAGTGGCGAATGGCGGTTGTTTTTCTGTACATGCATGTGCCGGGCAGATGGTTCATGTACGTGCGTGTACATGTGCATGTGTGTACGTGTGTGTGCGTGTGTAAGTGTGTGTGTGTACGTACCCAAGGAAGCGGCCCAGGGGAGGGCCCAGCTGGATGATTCGAGCGGCCAGACCCTCGCCATCCACCACTGGTGGTCCCTGGGGCTGGGGCACACACACACGCACGCACACACAGATACACACACATGGGTACAGATGCACGTACAGGCACACAGGTACAGACTCGCGTACCCACAGGTACGTACATACATACACACGGGTTCAGATGCACGTACACACGGGTACACATGCACGGACACACATGCACGGACACACACACACAAACACACGCGCACACAGACAGGTACAGACGCACGTGCACACATGCACGTACATGCACGCACAAAGACAAAGATCCCCCACATAGTTAACAGACTGTTGGGGCAAATGCTTTTCACGAGCACCTATGAAGGCCGGAACGGTACACGAGGGGGTGGGCGGCCACCACCATGTCCGCCCGGCTGTCTCCCTAGTGCCGATGTTTACACACTGCACAAGGTACTCATTTGAGGCTGAGTCGACCCTAGGGGAGGCCCGGGACCGGTTCAGATAATCGTCACTGGTGTTGGTGGCCGTGAGCAGGAATCGAAGTAGGGTCGCCGGGTTCGTAACGCATCACGCTAACCACTATAGTACAATCCATAATAAAGGTTTTTTGGGTTAGATTAGCCAAATCTGACTGTCGCCTAATGAAGCTAGTTATAATTACTGGCGTGACGTTGTACTCAGATTGTAAATGTTGTGGCCTGGCTCTCCAACACACCGGTGTGCTGTACTAGTGAGGAATTGGCACGTTATGTTTACGTCACAACCCTTACTAGTTGGCTGTGTCGGGTGGTGGCGGGTTTAACGACACATTTATCACTCAAATAAACCTCTATTTTGGATGATATTGGTCGCGAAAGCCTACGTGTTAAACTCACTACACTACCACTCCTCACGCACGTGCACACGCACGCACGCACGCACACATGAGTATGCATGCGCACACGTACGCCGGTATGCACATTGTGTCACTGCGTGTGTCACTGCGTGTGTCACTGTGTATCTATGGGCAGCGGTGGGACAGTTGTTAGCTCGCTGCGTTACAAACCCGGCAAACCAGAGTTCGATTCGCACTCATGGCCTCCAACGTCAGTGACGACTATCCGAACCGGCGCTGGCCACTCTGCCCCCCTGTAGTAAGCACTCAGGCCAGCCTTCGCGGGCGCCGCTCACCAGCTGCCACTTGCTCCGGCGGGCCGCGTGGGTTATATGCAGGGGGTGTGGGGGGGGTGTTACCTGAGTGTCTCCGGGTGCGAGGCCCGCGGGGGGCTGCTGCTTGGCGAGGCGGCAGGTGACGCGCGTTGGGGAGGCGCAGGCGCCCGGGGGCACGAGCAGGCGCAGCCCGGGGGGCCGGCAGCCACGCATCGAGCCCCCCCGCGCGTCCACCAGGAAGCTCACCAGGAAGCTGCATCACACCGCACCGTGATCGTCGTCGTCGTCGTCATCGTCACACTTCAACATGTCATCGACACGCCAACATCGTCGCACCTGCACCATGATCATAATAGTCTCAACACGCCGACATAATCATATTATTATACAGTACCAACAAACCATCATCATCATCATAATAATAATAATAATACCATCACCAGACCTATATCATGTCGACATCATATCATTAATCGTCATCATACCATCAGCATATCGACATCGTCACACCATCAACACACTCATCAAACCACCCCATACATTCACCAGGAAACTGCATCACACCGACCTCATCAATATCAACGTCACATCGATCATTTCAAGATCATCCCACAACTGTGATAACAGCGTCACGTGCATCAATACCGACATCATCGAGATCATTGTCACACCAACATCATCATACCATCATCACATCATCACACGATCATTTCAAGATCATCCCAAGACCGCGACAACTGCATCACTTGCATCATCGATATCGTCGTCACGCTCTCACGGAGCTGCCCCCCCCGCAGTGGGGGGTGGGGGTGATTCGTCACACTCGCAAGCACTCAGTCTCACAGTGGTGCGTGATGGTGCGGAGGGTCACCTGTTGTCATACTGGGGCAATGGCGTGCAGGCACTGGTGGAGAGAGGCGCAACATCAACGATGGGAACCGGCGCGATATTTGCTGGCGTCAGGGTTTAGGCGCAGCAGACCATATGCCCGGAACATTGTTTTGTGGAGGCCTCCGCCGCCCGACGCGGCCAAACAGGTTAAATTACGCGGCGCACAACGCGACAACCGTGACCGTTTCAGATCACTCACTCGGTGAGTTAGAGAGCAATTCTCAGGGTCAAATTTATCGCTCGCCTCCTCCTCACTCACCCGGTCAGTGAGTGGGGGCGGGTGAGTACTTGAGTTGGGTGGGGGAGTGGTTGAGTGGGTGGGTGAATGTGTGAGCGAGTGAGTGGGCGAGCGGGTGGGTGAGTAGGTGGGTGAGTGTGTGTGTGGGTGAGTGCGTGAGTGGGTGAGTGTGTGTGGGTGAGTGGGTGAGTGCATGAGTGGGTGAGTGGATGAGTGGGTGAGTGCATGAGTGGGTGGACGAGTGGTTGAGTGGGTGGGTGAATGTGTGTGTGGGTGAGTGCGTGTGTGGGTGAGTGCGTGTGTGGGTGAGTGTGTGGGTGAGTGCTTGAGTTGGGTGGGCGAGTGGTTGAGTGGGTGGGTGAGTGTGTGAGCGAGTATGTGAGCGAGTGAGTGGGCGAGTGGGTGGGTGAGTAGGTGTGTGGGTGAGTGCGTGTGTGGGTGAGTGTGTGTGTGGGTGAGTACTTGAGTTGGGTGGGCGAGTGGTTGAGTGGGTGGGTGAATGTGTGAGCGAGTGAGTGGGCGAGCGGGTGGGTGAGTAGGTGGGTGAGTGTGTGTGTGGGTGAGTGGGTGTGTGGGTGAGTGCGTGTGTGGGTGAGTGCGTGAGTGGGTGAGTGCGTGAGTGGGCGAGTGCGTGAGTGGGTGAGTGCGTGAGTGGGTGGGCGAGTGGTTGAGTGGGTGGGTGAATGTGTGAGCGATTGAGTTGGCGAGCGGGTAGGTGAGTAGGTGGGTGAGTGTTTGTGTGGGTGAGTGCGTGAGTGGGTGAGTGCGTGAGTGGGTGAGTGGGTGAGTGCATGAGTGGGTGGGCGAGTGGTTGAGTGGGTGGGTGAATGTGTGAGCGATTGAGTTGGCGAGCGGGTAGGTGAGTAGGTGGGTGAGTATTTGTGTTGGTGAGTGCGTGAGTGGGTGAGTGCGTGTGTGGGTAAGTGTGTGTGTGGGTGAGTGCGTGAGTGGGTGAGTACTTGAGTTGGGTGGGCAAGTGGTTGAGTGGGTGGGTTAATGTGTGAGCGAGTGAGTGGGCGAGCGGGTGGGTGAGTAGGTAGGTGAGTGTGTGTGTGGGTGAGTGCGTGAGTGGGTGAGTACTTGAGTTGGGTGAGTGCGTGAGTGGGTGGGCGAGTGGTTGAGTGGGTGGGTGGATGAGTGTGTGGTTGAGTGCATGAGTAAGTGCGTGTACATGTGACAATTTAAATTTGTTTGGCCATGTCAGTTGGTGGAGGGTTTCCTGAAACAGATATTTGCCGGATTGTTATGTGACCTAACCCAAAGTAACAATAATGAATCAGAATATGAACAACAATTATAAATAAATAATAAAAATAAGAGAGAAAGAGGTTGATACGGGGGAGCGTGCAATGGGGCAATGGGTGACGGTAAACAGAGCGACAGAGCAGACGCGTTACCCAGAATGCATGGGGCTGGAAGACAAGGTGACGTTGTCCCAGTGTTCCGGTGTCCCCCACCTCATCATCGCTCGCTCCACCTCGTAGTCCACCTACGCACGCACGTACACACACACACGTGCAAACACACACACGCGCGCACGCAAGCACACTGTGTTCAACCACCACCACACTCCAGGCCACAAAAACAAAGATCCCCCGTATCGCCTTCACAAGGGCTGTTAGCGAGCACCGAAGAAGGCCTGCACGGCACACGCCTGGGTGGGTGGCCAGCGCCACTCCCGGCCGCCTTTTTCTCCAGAGTGGCGATGTTTACCACACACCGCACCAGGTACTGAAGTGAGGCTGAGTCGACCTAGGGGAGACCCAGGACCGATTCAGATAATCGTCACTTGTATTGGCCGTGGGACAGACTCGAACTTGGGCCGCCGGATTCATAGTGCAGCACGCTAACCGTGGCAACAACACACTCCTACACTCACCTACTTGTCACTCGCCTATCCACCCACTCTCACCACTCGACCAGTCACCTCACTTCTCATTCTGCTATTTCCCTCGCGGTGCTCCACTCTGGAGTTCCCTCCTGCCACTATCGTCATCGTCGACTCTTTCCCACCCCCCCCCCGCTCCCCCCACTCATAGGCTCTCAACAACAACAACCTAGCTCAGTTCGAGAGCCATCTCAACGCCCCGCTTTATTATTCATCGCAACTGCCGACAGCGCCGTTTGCTTGCTGGCCCCCGCTAGGCGTTTTTGGGGCCGGTGCACAGAACCTGGGGAGGAGCGGCGGCAGCGGCCGAGCGGAGCGACGTCTCGTCCTCGCGGGAGCTCAACGGAGCTTCGCGCATCAGGGACAGAGAGAGGCCGCCCGGAGACGCGAAGGGGCTGCAGGGGTGGCGACAAGGGCCGGAGGAAGGCGAGCGGGACACGGTGGGGGTGGGGGGGGGGAGGGCAGAGACAGGGAGATGGCACGTAGACAGAAAGGCAGGGAGACAGGGAGACAGAGAGACAGAGACACGGAGATAACCAGGGCCAGAGGACAGGGGGAGAAAGGGAACAGAGGAGAGCGGAGAGAAAGACAGGCAGGCAGGGAGATCACACAGAGAGAGAGACACACAGAGACACATGGAGATCAGACAGAGACACAGAGAGACACAGTGGATACAGAGACAAACACAGAGACAGATCAAAGGAAGGCACCGGGACACAGAGATGGAGGTAGAGACCGAAACTGGTCGGAGCAGGGCTTCTGGAAAATATTTACACCCACGGTACACAACATCCAGTATACCTCTTGGCTGTGGATATTACTAGCACCACCTACTCCAGTCTAGCAGGGCCAGGGTACGCACTGAGAGATGAGAGGTGGGACAAGTGGTGAGACGAGTGGTGGGACGAGTGGTGAGACGAGTGGTGGGATGAGTGGTGGAACGAGTGGTGGGACAAGTGGTGAGACGAGTGGTGGGACGAGTGGTGGGATGCGTGGTGAGACGAGTGGTGGGATGAGTGGTGAGACGAGTGGTGAGACGAGTGGTGGGATGAGTGGTGGGATGAGTGGTGAGACGAGTGGTGGGATGAGTTGTGGGACGAGTGATGAGACGAGTGGTGGGATGAGTGGTGGGATGAGTGGCGGGACAAGTGGTGAGACGAGTGGTGGGATGAGTGGTGGGACGAGTGGTGAGACGAGTGGTGAGACGAGTGGTGGGACGAGTGGCGGGACAAGTGGTGAGACGAGTGGTGGGATGAGTGGTGGGACGAGTGGTGGGACGAGTGGTGAGACGAGTGGTGGGATGAGTGGCGGGACGAGTGGTGAGACGAGTGGTGGGATGAGTGGTGGGACGAGTGGTGAGACGAGTGGTGGGATGAGTGGTGGGATGCGTGGTGAGACGAGTGGTGGGATGAGTGGTGGGACGAGTGGTGAGACGAGTGGTGGGATGAGTGGTGGGACGAGTGGTGGGATGCGTGGTGAGACGAGTGGTGGGACGAGTGGTGAGACGAGTGGTGAGACGAGTGGTGGGACGAGTGGTGGGACGAGTGGTGAGACGAGTGGTGGGATGAGTGGTGGGACAAGTGGTGAGACGAGTGGTGGGATGAGTGGTGGGACGAGTGGTGGGATGCGTGGTGAGACGAGTGGTGAGACGAGTGGTGAGACGAGTGGTGGGACGAGTGGTGGGACGAGTGGTGAGACGAGTGGTGGGACGAGTGGTGGGACGAGTGGTGAGACGAGTGGTGGCACCAGTGGTGGGATGAGTGGTGAGACGAGTGGTGGGATGAGTGGTGGGACGAGTGGTGAGACGAGTGGTGGGACGAGTGGTGAGACGAGTGGTGAGACGAGTGGTGAGACGAGTGGTGGGATGAGTGGTGGGACGAGTGGTGAGACGAGTGGTGATACGAGTGGTGGGATGAGTGGTGGGACGAGTGGTGGGATGAGTGGTGAGACGAGTAGTGAGACGAGTGGTGGGATGAGTGGTGGGACGAGTGGTGAGACGAGTGGTGGGACGAGTGGTGGGACGAGTGGTGGGACGAGTGGTGAGACGAGTGGTGGGACGAGTGGTGGGATGAGTGGTGGGACGAGTGGTGAGACGAGTGGTGGGATGAGTGGTGAGACGAGTGGTGGGATGAGTGGTGGGACGAATGGTGAGACGAGTGGTGGGATGAGTGGTGAGACGAGTGGTGGGATGAGTGGCGGGACGAGTGGTGAGACGAGTGGTGGGACGAGTGGTGGGACGAGTGGTGGGATGAGTGGCGGGACGAGTGGTGGGACGAGTGGTGGGACGAGTGGTGAGACGAGTGGTGGGACGAGTGGTGGGGCGAGTGGTGGGACGAGTGGTGAGACGAGTGGTGGGATGAGTGGTGGGACGAGTGGTGAGACGAGTGGTGGGATGAGTGGTGGGATGAGTGGTGAGACGAGTGGTGGGATGAGTGGTGGGATGAGTGGTGGGACGAGTGGTTACCCGGTGGAGGATGCAGCGCCTAGCGACCGCGCCGGGGTCCTCAGTTCTGATAGTCGAATTTCGTCGGGGAGCGAGTCGTCCGTCAGAGCCAGGATGTCATCCGGGTGGAGCGTTGGGGCTCCGTCTCCTGGGCGAAGCGCATCACATCCCCGCATCACATTATCTCGCATCACATCACATCGTCACATCACAATATCACAGCACACACATCATCACATGACACACGTGACAAAGCAGTGCATCAATGCAGATGTTTACATCGCGACAGGACACGTGAGATTACTCCGCACAGAGTGATACCACCACCGCCACCACCACCAATATCACCACCACTAACATCACCACCAACATCACCACCACTACCACCACCAACACCAACATCGCCACCACCACCCCAACCATCACCACTATCACCCGCACCAGCCCCGCAGCGCCGTTACCTTCGTCGGTGTCGGATGCCACGTCGTTACGGCTTGGAGCCTTACGCACTGGCGCAACCACAGCGACACGCACGCGTGTGTCGCACGCACGCACGCACGGGTGAACAGACAGGCGCACACACGCACACGGGCAGACGCACACGTGGACACACACGGGGAGACACACACGCATACACGTGCGACACACAAACACACACACGCCGGCACGTACAGACAGACACGAGGGCAAAACACAAAAGGGAAATGGGCGTGAGATGGTGGCGAAAGTGGAGCAAACAATACACACGTGCACACGTACACACGTACAACAAATGCACGTGTCGTGAATACACGCGTGTTGTGAAAATAAACTGAGCGAAGTGAGGATCTCACAGCCCAAACAGGGAAATGACGTACACATGCACACAAGCATGCACACGCGCGCACACGCACACACACATACGTGCAAATAACCCCCCCTATAGCCTTCATAGACTTTTGTGGTAAGTGCTGTTAGCGAGCACCTATTAAGGCCTGTAGGGCACATGGCACGCTCGACTGATTTTGTCTCCCAGGTGGCAATGTTTACACATCACACCATAATAGAGGTTTTTGGGTTAGATCGAGTAAATATATAAATGTGTCGTTAAAACCCGCCACCATCTGACACAGCCAACTAGTAAGGGTTGTCACGTAAACAGAACGTGGCCAATTCGTCACTAGTACAGCACTAACCGGTGTGTTGGAGAGCCAAGCCACAACATTTACAATCTGAGTACGACGCTTCGCCAGTAATTACAACTAGCTTCATCAAGCGACAGACAGATTTGTGGAGAAGTCCACCCGTTTAATTCCTTATATAGAGGCGTAGATGTGGCGATCACAGTTCTGCGCTCTTGCGCAAAGTGGGGGGGGGGGGGGGGGGATTAATGAGTCAACGTAGATGATGCATGCGCATTATGCAAGCCCTTTGATCTTGTCCTTCCTGTCCACTGCGTGTATTAAAATAGCCGTACCAACGGAAATCACACCAGTTACTAATTTGAGGCTGAGTCGACTTAGGAGAGGCCCAGAACCGGTTCAGATAATCATCGCCTGTGCAGGTGGCTGTGAGCAAAATGGTTAGCGTTCGAGATGTTAAGGGCGCCGCGGTGGTGAGATGTTAACTACCTCGCCTGGTATACAGGAGGTCTCGGGTTCAATCTCGACCCTGACGCCTGCTGCTGTATATTTGGAGTTTGCATGTTCACTTTTCCCATTGTCACATGGATTTTTCTCCGGGTTTTCCCTCCACAATTTAGAATCAACAACATCTCGCGCGTTCAGAGTACGGTATTTGACTGCTATACATTTCCAAATCGTGATAAGCCACTTTCGTTCGGCGATCACTTATGGCCAGGTCGCTTCGGAAAAAGAGCTATTTTATAGTTTTATAGCTCGGTGGGCCTTACCTGGTGAAATAAAAACTTTTTTTTTTATTCTTTAGTTTAAAATAGATGTAATGTCCTGATTTGAAGCTTTCGAGGCTGCAGGGATCCATAATCTTATTTTATTTATTTTTTATTTTATACCTACGTGACTTTACCGAAAGGACCAAAGAGTAACTAACAGTTGCAATGGTTGTGTAGCACAGTGCTGTGGCAACCGCTGTGCGATTGCCTGTACGTGCGTGCGGGTGTGTGTGCGTGCGTGTGTGTGCGTGTGTGTGCGCGTGCATGAGTGACTGTGCGAGTATCTGTGTGTGTGTGTGCGTGTGTGTGCGTGCGTGTGTGTGTGCGTGTGTGCGCGTGTGTGTGTGCGTGCATGAGTGACTGTGCGAGTATCTGTCAGCCTGTGTGTGCGTGTGTGTGTGCGTGTGTGTGTGTGCGTGTGTGTGCGCGTGCATAAGTGACTGTGCGAGTATCAGTGTGTGTGTGCGTGTGTGTGCATGAGTGACTGTGCGAGTATCTGTGAGCGTGTGTGCGTGTGTGTGTGCATGTGTGAATGTGTAGGCCTGGGCTCTGGGTTGTTCTTGGTGTTTTGGAGTCCCTGACCCTCTGCTCACGATCATTAATGACCTTCATGATGGTGAACGGGCCCAGGTAAAACTACGTGGCCGGGATTCAGAGCCATTCCCTTTACACCTTGGGGTGCGACAGGGATGTCCTCTGGCTCCCACATTATTTAACATCTATTTTGACCACGTAGTTTGTGAAGCCTTCAATAGTTATACCGGGGGAATCTCCATATGGTACAAATATAATGGGAGGCTGATCGATGCCCGGGTGCGGTCAAGGGATGGCTCCCTATTGCTCAACCACGTTATGTATGCTGATGATTTGGTAATAGCTGCTCATTCAGAGGAGGCGGTGGAGACGTTTCTGCTGAGACTGGAGCGTGCCACTAAGAGATGGGGCCTTACCATCAGCCCCACCAAAACTAAGCACCTGCCTGGGTATTTTGTACCATCGGACACTCCACCCCCACAACTCCCAATCGGTGATGGGGCAGTTGTGGAGAGAGTGGAGAGTTTTCCATACCTGGGCAGTGTGCTTATGACCGGCTCCAGTTTAACAGCAGAGGTCTCACTCCGAATCAGTCGAGCGGCATTATCTTATAATCGGTTGCGTAACGCTGTGTGGAAGCTACCTGGTCTGTCGCTCCGCACTAAGCTTCAGGTCTTCTCGGCCACGGTAATTCCCTCCCTTCTCTACGCTTGCAAAACGTGGACCCCCTAATGGAGCATCTTCGCCGGTTTGAAACATTTAGGCTAGCCTGCCTACGACCCATCCTGGGTTTAACCAGACTGGATTGTGTGAGGAGCTCACAAATCCTTGAAAGATCTGGGCAAGGTCCCATCGGTGAGCTCCTCCGGCGGGCAAGGATGCGATGGCTGGGTCATGTAGCCCGCATGCCCAGCCACCGCATGCCGAAACAGCTTTTGTTCGGCCGGATTGAGGGGCCTAAACGGGCGCGGCATTGGACTAGAGAAGAGATGGAGTGATGTGGTACAGGAGGACGTGGAGCTGAGTGGACTTGCCGATGACTGGTACCAGCAGTGTTAAGATCGGCCTCTGTGGAGGAGGCTCGTGAGGGACGCTACTGGGCAGTTGGAGGTAGTCGCCCTCCAACAACAACGGAGGGCGGAGGAGCGACACTCACAACAACGAGCGGAGTGTCGGGTGGCTGAAGCACAGCAGGTTGGCACAGTAGGGGGCACAGGTGGTGCATCAGCCAGTCATCTCAGTCAGTCGAACCGTGGCACCTGGGTCTGCCCCGTGACCTCCTGCCAGCGGGTGTTCGACACTTCACGTGGCCTCAGGGTGCACATAGCCTGGCACAAGCGTCGTGGTGACGTCACCGCCACTTAGTGGCGAATGGCGGTTGTTGTTGTTGTGTATGTGTATGTGTGTGTATGTGTGTGTGTATGTGTGTGTGTATGTGTGTGTGTATGTGTATGTGTGTATGTGTGTATGTATGTATGTGTATGTATGTGTGTGTGTGTATTCACCATCGTCGTCGGACACGTCCAGCATCTCAGTCATGGTCTCCGGGATGCTGAGCCGGTGCCTCTGGGAAACGGACTCGAGACAAAACAAAGACAAAGATCCCCCAGGTAACCCACACAGCCGGTCGAGGCAACTGCCGCTAGCGAGCAGCGCCTACGAAGTCTCCACGGCGCCGATATATTCGCACCGGACCAGGTGCTCATTTAATGCCGAGTCGACATAGCGGAGGCCCGAGAGTTGTCTGCAGCGCCGCAGCTATCGGGGTTAATGGGGTTGCAGTGGCGGCAGTGAGCTGGTTACCATGGTGACGGTCTGAGTCTCCGTGGTGACGGCCTGCAGGGTGTCCACGACGGAGATGTAGCCCAGGCGGTTTGCGATGGAGAGCGCCGTGTTTCCCCCCTGTCGCACGGCGTGCCCCATCACACAGCACACAGAACAACAACCCGCTAGGCAACGACAACAACAACCCGTCAGACAATGACAACAACAACAACCCGCCAGACAACAGCAATAACCTGCCAGACAACAACAACAACCTGCCAGACAACAGCAACAACCTGCCAGACAACAGCAACAACCTGCCAGACAACAACAACCTGCCAGACAACAACAACAACCTGCCAGACAACAACAACAACCTGCCAGACAACAACAACAACCTGCCAGACAACAACAACAACCTGCCAGACAACAGCAACAACCTGCCAGACAACAGCAACAACCTGCCAGACAACAGCAACAACCTGCCAGACAACAACAACAACCTGACAGACAACAACCCCCAAGACAGGTTGTTGTTGCTGTCTACACACACCACCACCACCACCCACAACAAACCCTACAGCACACCTCATCACACACGTCCTCACCGTGTCACACTCTCATGGGGGAGGATGGATATAATGGGGGTTGTGTGACGAGGTAGCGTGTGTAACGAGGTAGCGTGTGTAACGAGGTAGTGTGTGTAACAAGGTAGCGTGTGTAACGAGGTAGCGTGTGTAACGAGGTAGCATGTGTAACGATGTGTATGTAACGAGATAGCGTGTGTAACGAAGTAGTGTGTGTAACGAGGTAGCGTGTGTAACGAGGTAGTGTGTGTAACGAGGTATTGTGTGTAACGAGGTAGTGTGTGCAACAAGGTGCGCGCGCGACGAGGTAGTGCGTGACGAGGTAACGTGTGTAATGATGTTTGTATGTAACGAGGTAGCATGTGTAACAAAGTAGTGTGTGTAACGAGGTGCGCGCGTGACGAGGTAGCGCATGTAACGACGTGTGTGTGTAACGATGTGTGTATGTAACGAGGTGTGTGTGTAACGAGGTAGTGTGTGTAACGAGGTGCGCGCGTGACGAGGTAGCGTGCGTAATGAGGTAGCGTGTGTAACGAGGTGCGACGAGAAAGCGTGTGTAACGATGTGTGTATGTAACGAGGTAGCGTGTGTAACGAGGTGCGCGCGTGACAAGGTAGCGTGTGTAACGAGGTGCGACGAGGTAGTGTGCGTACATTGGTGACGTCATCGGGCCGGGCTCCATGCTTGAGGAGGAGGCTGACGATGTGCGTGTGTCCCTGCTGAGCCGCCTGATGTAGGGGGGTGTAGCCGCTCTGCGAGGGACGTACGGTTACACACGTGACGCACACACAGAGGTCCCCCTTAACGGACTGTCGGGGCGAGCACCTGTGAAGGCCGGCACAGCACACGAGGGGGTGGGTGGCCAACGCCACGCCCGCCCAATCATCCACCTTTGTCTCCCCCAGCCCTGATGTTTATGCACCGCTCCAGGTGCTCATTGATGTCTGAATTGACCTAGGGAAGCTTCAGCACCGGTTCGTATATTCGTTGTTGGTTTTGGGTCACCGGGTTCATAGCGCAAAGCGCTCATCACCACTTCGCTGCCACTCCCCTCGCATGGTGGAGCCGAGTGGACTTGCCGATGGCCGGTACACGCAGTGTCAACATCGGGCTCTGTGGAGATCCATGAAGGACGCTGCTGCTGGGAAGTTGGAGGCAGTCGCGCCCTCCGAACAACAGTGGAGGGCGCAGGAGCGACGCTCACAACAATCGGTGGGGTGCCGGGCGGATTAAACTCAGCGAGTTGGGGGGAGCATAGGTGGTGCATCTGCCGGTCATCTCAGTCGACCCATGGCACCTGGGTCTGTCCCGTGACCTCCTGCTCCTGAGCCTTCGACACTTCACATGGCCTCAAAGTGCACCTAGCCTGGCACAAGCACCGTGGTGATGTCACCGCCACTGAGTGTCCAATGGCGGCTGCTGTTGCTGTATTTTTTTTTTTTGGCGACTGCGAGGTTACCTTGGTTTTGTGGTTGACGTCAGCCCCATTGCGCAAGAGGAATTCAACCATCGGAGCGTTCCCATAGTGACAGGCCACGATCAGAGGGGTGTAGCCCAGCTGTTGTGACACAACGCACCATACACACCGCACACTGAGTAGACATTACTCCGCACACACCGTACAACACGGAAAGTGGCCAGCTATGTGTATTATGACAGCAGTGAGATTGGGTAGAGGTCGCCATGGAGATGTGGGTGCCTGGCTGTTACCTTGGTGACGGGGTCGATGGGGGCTCCGTGAGCCTCGAGTTGTTGCGCAACTTCCACGCGGTCCTCCTGGGCAGCCAGGTGCATCGGGGTGAGCCCGATCTGTGAACACACAAGCTCACCACTTACTCACCACTTACTCACCACACGCTCACCACTTACTCACCACACGCTCACCACTTACTCAACACCTACTCACCACACACTCACCACTTACTCACCACCACGCTCAGCACTTACTCACCATTTACTCACCACTTACTCACCACACATTCACCACTTACTCACCACCACGCTCACCACTTACTCACCACCACACTCACGACTTACTCACCACTTACTCACCACACGCTCACCACTTACTCACCACACGCTCACCACTTACTCACCACACGCTCACCACTTACTCACCACACGCTCACCACTTACCCACCACTTACTCAACACACGCTCACCACTTACTCACCACACGCTCACCACTTACTCAACACCTACTCACCACACACTCACCACTTACTCACCACCACGCTCAGCACTTACTCACCATTTACTCACCACTTACTCACCACTTACTCACCACCACACTCACCACTTACTTACCACACGCACCACTTACTTACCACTTACTCACCACTTACCACAAGCTCACCACTTACCACACTCATCACTTACCACACCCACCACCACACTCACCACTTACTCACCACACGCTCACCACTTACTCACCACTTACTCACCACACGCTCACAACTTACTCACCACACGCTCACCACCACACTCACCACCACTTACCACTCACCAGTGGTAAGTGTGTGCGGTGAGTACCCTGGTGTGGTGTGTGTAGTGAGTACCGTGGTGCGGGGCGTGTGCTGGGCGCCGTGGGTCAGCAGGGTGCTGCACACCGCGCCGTGGCCCTGCTGGCTGCACAGGTGCAGCGCGCGAACCCCCTGATGGGTGTGCGCATCCACGTCGGCCCCGTGAGACAGCAGGGAGAGACAAAGGGGGTCCTGGCCCTTGCGGGAGGCAATGTGCAGGGGGGTATACCCATTCTGCACACGCGCACACACACACACGCAAGACAATCGCCCCGGGAGCCACAAGTCACTCTCGTGATGCGGTTTGAAGAGTGATTTGTGATCGCTAGCTGCTAACGCAGCATCCACTCCTTGGCAGCCGGAGACCACCGCTCGATCCTCGCAGCGCCGCAACGGCTTTTTGCGAACTTCAGCCAAGTCTGGGGACAGCCTCCTTGTTCTCCGACGTGGGATGCTGTAGGCGGTGGGAGTGGCCCTGTCGCTTTCTCTCAGCCACCTGGAACACCTCTGTCAGCCAGGTCTCTGGGGAGATCTGGACTGTGTGCTCAATGAAGCCATAACAGCTGCATTAGCCACCGTCCTGAACCTCACCCATTTCCCCTCGGCAACAGGAGGGGGGCGGGGGGGATGATTTTTAATCCGAGCTGCAAGCGATGATCAAATTCTCACTTGCAACCTTTATCAGCAAGCCGAGACCACGCTATTTCTGGTTTGAATGGGGTCCGAGGTGGACGCCCACCACCACGATGGAATGCAGGCGCATCTTACAGATGACTAGCCGATGGTCAGTGGGCAGATGGGTTCCACGGTCGGTTCTGGTGTCACTTTGTAGTCCAGCATATGTTCTTGCTTGCACCCGGCGTGCACCCAAAGTGTTGTGCGGATGCGCCGATGCTGGAACAGTGCGTTGGTGATTACAAGCCCATAGGCTGCACAGGTCTAGCAGCATCCTCCCGTTGTTATTGAGCTGATCTGGCCAATTCCTTCAAATCACTCCGGCTCAAGCGCCTGTATCATGACCCACTGGTGCATAACAGCCATACAACAGGATGACTTAATCCTTAGGGCCCACTTTAGCCAGCACCTGGGACAGATCATAGAAGGCATTTTACTAATCAACCTTGCCTGCATCCCTCCACTGATATTCATATTCGGTGGAGGCGTTAGCCACCACCATTTCTTTCCTCCCATTGATGGGGAGGTGAATCCACAACAGCCTGAGACTCGCAGCTTCCCGTGGCCCCGCCTCCATGCTCCCACTCCCCCTTCATTCTTTTGTTTAGAACAAGAGCCACATTGTTTGGCCCCGAGTGGAGAAATATGCACCCTTCGCGGTGATTGGAGCCAGAACCAGTCCACAGGAGCTCCTGTATTCCACAGGCGGTACAGGTCCAGCTCCCGAAAGAGAAGTGGCAGCCTCTCCTCCGCAGTGAGGGTTCGGACATTCCACGTGGACACCGGTGGTGGTTTCCTGTTTATGGAGGAACCACGAGGTGGGTTCAGTTTCCCGGCTCCGCCAAACGGGGGCTTGGCCAGGTGACATTGCGGGCGCCCGTCCCCCCCCGGGGGCCTGTGGCATGAGCCGGGTCTGCTTATGCTCCTGTGGTCCTCGTGGTCACGCGATCGAGCCTCTCACGCCCATCCTCAGCCCCCAACGCCACTGTCGTGGCAGTAAGTGCCGTGAGGGTCACAGCCTCTCAGCCTTCTCACAAGCAACGGCAGTGTTCGCAGCACAGTGCAGCTGCCATTGTGTGACACAAGCCAGACACAAAACAAAGATCCCCCACCTATGAAGGCTGACACGGCACATGACAGGGTGGGCGGCCAGCAACACGCTTGGCTGCCTTTGTCTCCCGAGTGCCAGTGTCGACACACCGCACTGGGTACCCACGTGAAGCCGAGTTGACCAAGGGGAGGCCCAGGACCAGTTCAAATAATCGTCGCTGGTGTTGGCCGTGAGAGGGAATTGAACTCGGGTCGCCGGGTTTGTAGCGCAGCATGATAGCTACTGTGCCACCTCTCCCTTTTGTCAGACACGCACACAGGCGCGTACACAACAACAACTGCCATTCGCCACTAAGTGGCGGTGACGTCACCACGACGCTTGTGCCAGGCGCGTACACACACGCGCACACACACACACACAAACTCGCACCTTGGCGGTGGCCGTGGGTGAGGCTCCATTCTGCAGCAACACGAGGGCCACCTCCTGGTGGTCGTAGTGAGCGGCGACGTGTAGCGGGGTCAGCCCGTTCTGCACCGCACCGTTAACGTGACACACGGCACCGTACCACACACGGCATTGCATTGCATAGGCCACGCAACTTGGCACTGCACTCACCAGACAGCACCACATAGTGCGGTGGCACTATGCAGCATCGAAAAGTACCACACTGCACATACTACACAGTACCACACAATACTGCACTTCCCACAGTTAACACCAGGAGTGCATGGGCGTGTCTGTGGGTGCGTCTGTGATTGCGTCTGTGGGTGTGTCTGTGAATGCCACCCTGCCCACTACACCGTGTCTCTCTCTCTCACCTTGCCCGTTATGTCAGTTTGGGCTCCGCCCTCAAGCAAGAGTCGCACCACGTCGGTTTGTCCATACTTGGCAGCGACGTGCAGAGGGGTGAAGCCTTTCTGTAAAAGGCCATGCGTCACACCATGCGTAACGCCACCCCATGTCTCAAACAACATGTCACCCCACCCCACGCGTCACAACACGTGTCACACCGTGCGTCACAGCGTGCGTCACACCACCCCATGCCTCGCACGTCACCCCACCCCCACGCGTCACACCGTGCGTCACGCCACCCCATGCCTCGCACCACGTCACCCCACCCCCACCCCCACGCGTCACACCGTGCGTCACGCCACCCCATGCCTCGCACCACGTCACCCCACCCCCACCCCCACGCGTCACACCGTGCGTCACGCCACCCCATGCCTCGCACTACGTCACCCCACCCCCACGCGTCACACCGTGCGTCACACCACCCCATGCCTCGCACCACGTCACCCCACCCCCACGCATCACACCGTGCGTCACACCACCCAATGCCTCACACCAAATGCCACCCCCACGCGCCACACCACACGCCACCCCCATACGTCACGTCACATCCCACGCGTCACACCACATGTCACTCCACCCGACACCGCGCGTGAGGGTGCATGCAGGCAGTGAGGCTGTGAGGGCGTGGCGAGGGCTGAGGTGGCTCACCCTGGTGGGGAGCGTGTGGTCGGCGCCCGCGTGCAGCAGGCTCGCCGTGGTGAGCGTGTGGCCGGCGCGCGCGCTAATGTGCAGCGGGGTGTACCCTCCGGCCGACACCGCGTCGGTTCGCGCCCCGGCCTCCAGCAGGGCGAGCGCAACCTCCGGGCGAGGCAGGCGGGAGGCCAGGTGCAGCGCGGTCTGCTCGTCCTGAAAGCGTACAGGTACAGGCAAAGGTGCCCCGTGTGGCCCGGCGAACAGCTCCCACGAAGGCCGGCGCGGTAGGGGGAGGCCCGTGGTAGTTGCCAGCGGTTGCCCCCTCGCCCTCGTGGTTGCACCCTCACCCGTGTGGTTGCGTGTGGTTGCGCCCTCACCCGTGTGGTTGCGTGTGGATCCGCCCCGGCCTTCAGTAAACTCTTTACGGCTGGGAGCTGCCCCGCACGGGCGGCCATGTGCAATGGTGTCTCACCACGCTGCAACCACAACAACAACACGATACAATCACAAAAATAATACAACACTATAGAACTACAAGAACACTATACAACCACAACACTATACTACAACCACAACAACAATATAATACTACAACAATACTATAGAACTACAACAACACTATAGACAACACTATAGAATTATACTCACAATAACAACACTATACAACTACAACACCACTGTATCAATAAATCCACCAGAACCACCACCACTCTACAACCAAAACAACCAAAACTCAACGATAGCCAAAACAAGAATGCCAGGCACGCTGCGACCACAACACGGCAAACCACGACGCACAGTCACACACAACCACGCTATAACTAAAACAACCACCGGGGTCGCATTTGGTACACATCCCATCAGCTACCACGGCCTTCCTTCTGGGAGAGCATCATCATCAACAGGAGCACAGCAGTAGCACCGGTTTATCAACACAAGCAAAGTCAGTCGTGCTGCTGGAATCAATGCTGGCCACACTGCCAGGCGTCCAATGGCGTGGTGCCCTCCGTCTTGACTGGGATCCATGTCTGCAGTGAGGGCCTCGACGGTGTTTTGTGGGGCACGGACTGGTGTGGTGCGGAGCAGTGCAGTGCAGCCTGGTTTGTGATGCCGGTGCAGTGGAGAGTGGTGTGGGGTCTGTGATGCGTGTGCGGTGTGCGACGTGTGTGTGGTGTGATGCGTGTGCGGTGCAGGGTATGGTGTACTGTGATGTATAATGCGTGGGTAGTGTGGTGCAGTGCAGTGTTGTCCGTGATGTGTGTGTGGTATGGTGTGCGATGTGTGTGATGAGTGTGCGGTGCAGTGTGTGATGCGTCTGTGGTGTGATGCATCTGTGGTGTAATGCGTATGTGGTGTGGTGCAGTGCGGTGCTATTACCACGTTGGGCGTGTCCAGCGTCGCTCCGTACTGCAGCAGCAGCGACACCACCTCCAGGTTCCCCATGAACGCGGCAACGTGGAGCGGAGTCAGGCCAGACTACAGCCCACAGTGTGATACAGCACACCGTGACACACCACACCGTGACACACCCCACAGCCCCTTTAAAGGTGGCCCCTCGTAATTAGGATCCCTTAAAGGCACCCCTATTAAAGGTGACCCCTGGTAATTGGGATCCCTTAAAGGCACCCCTATTAAAGGTGACCCCTGGTAATTGGGATCGCTTAAAGGCACCCCTATTAAAGGTGACCTCTGGTAATTGGGATCCCTTAAAGGCACCCCTATTAAAGGTGACCCCTCATAATTAGGATCCCTTAAAGGCACCCCTATATTAAAAGGTGACCCCTGGGAATTGGGATCCCTTAAAGATATCCCAATTAAAAGGTGACCCCTGGGAATTGGGATCCCTTAAAGGCACGCCTATTAAAGGTGGCACCTCGTAATTGGGATGCCTCTAAGGCACCCCTATTAAAGGTGACCCCTCGTAATTGGGATGCCTCTAAGGCACCCCTATTAAAGGTGACCCCTCGTAGTTGGGATGTCTCTAAGGCACCCCTATTAAAGGTGACTCCTCGTTATTGGGATTCCTTAAGGCACCCTGGGGCGGGGGGACCACCTCGGTGACGGCGCCGATGGTGGCGCGGTGGCGCAGCAGCAGCTCCACGACGCGCGCCCGGTTCTTCTTGCTCGCAATGTGGAGCGGGGTGAAACCATTCTGCATGGAGGGGGGAAGGGAGTGAAGTGACCCTGTGTCTCCCTTGACTCCCCTGCATCTCCCCCGCATATCCCCGCAACTCCCCGATTCTCCTCGTATCTCCCCACGTCTCCCCGAGTCTCCCCTATGTCTCACTGAGTCTCCCTGCATCTCTCCTCCATCTTCCCGAGTCTCTCCGCGTCTCCCCGCGTCTCCCCCGGTTTACCCGTCTCTACACCGCGTCTCCTCCGCATCGCGCCCGTGTCTCGCGCCGCGTCTCCCATGCATCTTCCCCCCCGGTGTCTCCTCCGCGTCGTCTCACCAGCGCGCGGGCGTCCGGCTCGGCCCCCAGCTCCAGCAGGAGTTTGGCGGAGCGGTAGTGGCCGCAGTGGGCCGCCACGTGGAGTGCGGTGAGGGAGTCGAGCGTGGCGTCGTCCACAGGGGCGTCGCGCGCACCCAGACCCCGCACGCAGCCCACGTGATCGCCCTGCGCGGCCATGTGCAGCGGGGACAGCCCGTTCTGTGGCACAGGCACAGTGTCAGTGGCACACGCAGTGTCAGTGTTGATGATGGCCAATGATGATGATGGTAATGATGACGGTGTGTTAGGTAATGATGATGTTGATGATGGTGTTGATGATGATGTTGATGATGTTGTTGACGGGGATGCTGTTGATGATGACCTATCATAATGATGTTAATGATGACGGTGTTTTTGGTGATGATGATGTTGTTGATGATGATGGTTAGGATGTTAATGATGATGTTGATGACGGTGTTGTTATCGGTGATGATGATGTTGACGATGTGGCACCTTGGTCTTGGCAAGGATGGGTGCTCCCTGCTCGAGGAGGATCTCCAGAGTTCCATCATGGCCGCTCCGAGCTGCACAGTGCAGCGGAGTGAGGCCGTCCTGCAAAATACCCCGACAACACCAGGACGCTGACACATGCCAACACAAACTAACACTCACCAACACACGCCAACACCGGCACGCTGACACACGCCAACACAAACTAACACTCACCAACACACGTCAACACCAGCACGCTGACACACGCAAACACACACAAACTAACACTCACCAATACACGAAAACACCAGCACGCTGACACACGCCAACACAAACTAACACTCACCAACACACGCCAACACCGGCACGCTGACACACGCCAACACAAACTAACACTCACCAACACACGCCAACACCAGCACGCTGACACACGCCAACACAAACTAACACTCACCAACACACGCCAACACCAGCACGCTGACACACGCCAACACAAACTAACACTCACCAACACACGCCAATACCAGCACGCTAACACACGCCAACACACACAAACTACCACTCACAAACACACGCCAACACCAGCACGCTGACACACGCCAACACAAACTAACACTCACCAACACACGCTAACACCAGCACGCTGACACACGCCAACACAAACTAACACTCACAAACACACGCCAACATCAGCAGCCTAACACACGCCAACACACACAAACTAACACAAACACACGCCAATACCAGCACACTAACACAAGCCAACACAAACTAACACTCACAAACACACGCCAATACCAGCACACTAAACACGCCAACACACACAAACTAACACTCACAAACACACGCCAACATCAGCACGCTAACACACGCCAACACACACAAACTAACACTCACCAACACACGCCAACACCAGCACACTAACACACGCCAACACACACAAACTAACACTCACCAACACACGCCAACACCAGCACACTAACACACGCCAACACAAACAAACACTCACAAACACATGCCAACACCAGCACGCTAACACACGGCAACACACAAAATTAAAACACTCACAAACACACACCAACACTAGCACGCTAACACACGCCAACACATACAAACTAACACTCACCAACACATGCCAACATCAGCACACTAACACACTCCAACACACACAAACTAACACTCACAAACACACGCCAACACTATCACGCTAACACACGCCAACACACACAAACTAACACTCACCAACACACGCCAACACAAGCATGCTAACACACGCCAACACACACAAACTAACACTCACAAACACACTAACCCCAGCACGCTGACACACGCCAACACACACAAACTAACCCTCACAAACACACGCCAACACCAGCACACTAACACACGCCAACACAAACAAACTAACACTCACAAACACAAGCCAACACCAGCACGCTAACACACGCCAACACACAAACTAACACTCACCAACACACGCCAACATCAGCACGCTAACACACGCCAACACACACAAACTAACACTCACCAACACACGCCAACACCAGCACGCTGACACACGCCAACACAAACTAACACTCACAAACACACGCTAACACCAGTACACTAACACACGCCAACACACAAACTAACACTCACCAACACACGCCAACATCAGCACGCTAACACACGCCAACACACACAATCTAACACTCACCAACACACGCCAACATCAGCACACTAACACACGCCAACACAAACAAACACTCACCAACACACGCCAACACCAGCACGCTAACACACGCCAACACACACAAACTAACACTCACAAACACACGGCAACACCAGCACGCTAACACACACAAACACTCACAAACACACGCCAACACCAGCACGCTAACACGCCAACACACACAAACACTCACAAACACACGCCAACACCAGCACGCTAACACACGCCAATACACACAAACTAACACTCACAAACACACTAACCCCAGCACGCTGACACACGCCAACACACACAAACTAACACTCACAAACACACGCCAACACCAGCACGCTAACACACGCCAACACACACAAACTAACACTCACCAACACACGCCAACACCAGCACACTAACACACGCCAACACAAACAAACACTCACAAACACACGCCAACACCAGCACGCTAACACACGCCACCACACACAAACTAACACTCACCAACACCAGCACGCTGACACACGCCAACACACACAAACTAACACTCACCAACACACGCCAACACCAGCACGCTAAGACACGCCAACACACACAAACTAATACTCACAAACACACGCCAACACCAGCATGCTGACACACGCCAACACAAACTAACACTCACCAACACACGCCAACACCAGCACGCTGACACATACCAACACAAACTAACAATCACCAACACATGCCAACACCAGCACGCTGACACACGCCAACACAAACTAACACTCACCAACACACGCCAATACCAGCACGCTAACACACGCCAACACACACAAACTACCACTCACAAACACACGCCAACACCAGCACGCTGACACACGCCAACACAAACTAACACTCACCAACACACGCTAACACCAGCACGCTGACACACGCCAACACAAACTAACACTCACCAACACACGCCAACATCAGCACACTAACACACGCCAACACAAACAAACACTCACCAACACACGCCAACACCAGCACGCTAACACACGCCAACACACACAAACTAACACTCACAAACACACGGCAACACCAGCACGCTAACACACACAAACACTCACAAACACACGCCAACACCAGCACGCTAACACGCCAACACACACAAACACTCACAAACACACGCCAACACCAGCACGCTAACACACGCCAATACACACAAACTAACACTCACAAACACACTAACCCCAGCACGCTGACACACGCCAACACACACAAACTAACACTCACAAACACACGCCAACACCAGCACGCTAACACACGCCAACACACACAAACTAACACTCACCAACACACGCCAACACCAGCACACTAACACACGCCAACACAAACAAACACTCACAAACACACGCCAACACCAGCACGCTAACACACGCCACCACACACAAACTAACACTCACCAACACCAGCACGCTGACACACGCCAACACACACAAACTAACACTCACCAACACACGCCAACACCAGCACGCTAAGACACGCCAACACACACAAACTAACACTCACAAACACACGCCAACACCAGCATGCTGACACACGCCAACACAAACTAACACTCACCAACACACGCCAACACCAGCACGCTGACACATACCAACACAAACTAACACTCACCAACACATGCCAACACCAGCACGCTAACACACGTCAACACACACAAACTAACATTCATCAACACACGCCAACATCAGCACACTAACACACGCCAACACACGCAAACTAACACTCACAAACACACGCCAACACCAGCACGCTAACACACGCCAATACACACAAACTAACACTCACAAACACACGCCAACACCAGCACGCTAACACACACAAACACTCACAAACACACGCCAACACCAGCACGCTAACACGCCAACACACAAAACACTCACAAACACACGCCAACACCAGCACGCTAACACACGCCAACACACACAAACTAACACTCACAAACACACGCCAACACCAGCACACTAACACACGCCAACACACACAAACACTCACAAACACACGCCAACACCAGCACGCTAACACACGCCAACACACACAAACTAACACTCACAAACACACTAAACCCAGCACGCTGACACACGCCAACACACACAAACTAACACTCACAAACACACGCCAACACCAGCACGCTAACACACGTCAACACACACAAACTAACACTCACAAACACACGCCAACACACACAAACTAACACTCACCAAAACACGCCACCACCAGCACGCTAACACACGCCAACACACACAAACACTCACAAACACACGCCAACACCAGCACGCTAACACGCCAACACACACAAACACTCACAAACACACGCCAACACTAGCACACTAACACACGCCAACACACACAAACTAACACTCACCAGCACACGCCAACACCAGCACGCTAACACACGCCAACACAAACTAACACTCACAAACACACGCCAACATCAGCACACTAAACACGCCAACACACACAAACTAACACTCACAAACACACGCCAACACTATCACGCTAACACACGCCAAAACACACAAACTAACACTCACCAACACACGCCAACACCAGCATGCTAACACACGCCAACACACACAAACTAACACTCACAAACACACTAACCCCAGCACGCTGACACACGCCAACACACACAAACTAACCCTCACAAACACACGCCAACACCAGCACACTAACACACGCCAACACAAACAAACTAACACTCACAAACACAAGCCAACACCAGCACGCTAACACATGCCAACACACAAACTAACACTCACCAACACACGCCAACATCAGCACGCTAACACACGCCAACACACACAAACTAACACTCACAAACACACGCCAACTCCAGCACGCTAACACACGCCAACACACACAATCTAACACTCACCAACATACGCCAACATCAGCACACTAACACACGCCAACACAAACAAACACTCACCAACACATGCCAACACCAGCACGCTAACACACGCCAACACACACAAACTAACACTCACAAACACACGGCAACACCAGCACGCTAACACACACAAACACTCACAAACACACGCCAATACCAGCACGCTAACACACGCCAACACACACAAACTAACACTCACAAACACACTAACCCCAGCACGCTGACACACGCCAACACACACAAACTAACACTCACAAACACACGCCAACACCAGCACGCTAACACACGCCAACACACACAAACTAACACTCACAAACACACGCCAACACCAGCACACTAACACACGCCAACACAAACAAACTAACACTCACAAACACACGCCAACACCAGCACGCTAACACACGCCAACACACACAAACTAACACTCACCAACACACGCCAACACCAGCACACTAACACACGCCAACACAAACAAACACTCACAAACACACGCCAACACCAGCACGCTAACAC